GCTAAGGTCACCGTATTCATTGTTTCTTCATAGTCGTCCCCTGTTAAAGCATTGGTTAGATCCTATTATGGTTATCATAAATTCGCTAATTTACTGTTTACGGGTCGTGCAGCAGATAGGCATATGGAGTTATATTTTCCTTAATGACCGGTCAATCAGTTTCACATTAATGAGTCATTATTTCCGGTATCTGATTGTCCGCCATCTTGGTTCGCATACTTCGGGAGCCCCGAAATTTCTCATATTCGACTCCATTTTGTAACTTGGCGTCGTAGTTTTCCTCGGAGGATTTTAAATCCTCTGGAAGTCTCATGCTGTTGTGAAGTTCGCATTGTGATTTGAGCGTCCTGTAAGATCTCTTCTACGATGATGAACCTGCGTTGTTTTTATCAGACAACACAGGATGGCAATACTTGTATATTGAATGAGCGTGTTAACAGACTAAGTATTGCTTGATTCTGAAAACCCAAGTTGCCAACAAAACATGTGTAACGTTTCTGACACATTCATATACTGTGATCTGACGTCATATCATACTATTTACAAAAGTATCGCGTTGATATCCAAGCCACATTGTAGATATGATATGTCAAAATTGTTCTATTCAATTTATTCAAAACAATTTGGACTCCCAATCAGGCCTGGGTGAACGCTTCATGAGGGCAGTCGATGATTTTATGCCTACGTGGCGCCGGAGTACGAGTCTCGCCTGAAATAGAAAGGCAATGGCTTTTACTAACTACCTTACTCTTTACATTAATGGAATCATGAGATATCTACAAAAAGTGATATCAATTTTGAATAATATCCTTCTGGCAAAAAAATCAATCTTTAACCACTAAAAATTTAAAGGCAATGGACCTTTCCCCGACCTTTGGACTTGCACGGGTCACGTGACCTTGTTACTGGACGGCAATAAAACAAAAACGTCCATTTGGCTCCTGTCAGTTGCAAGTCGGATTATACGTTTCCGTTTTGTTTGGCTGTTGAAAATGGTTATTTCGTATTGTTCCGCTGGCTGTACGTATAGTATAGACCAGTGGTTCCCAAACTTTTTTGACCATCGCCCCCCTAAAGTAGTTTATACAACTTCATCGCCCCCGGCACTACAATAAAATGTAAAGTCAGAAACGAATATATTACAGATCGAATGAGATGGCAAATCATAGTTTATAGTGTTTTTTAATGAGATGGATGAGCTCGGTGTTCCTCAGCGAGTTTTTTTATTATATCTAAAATTACCCCGTTTACTGATAGAAAGGCGATTTCGTTGTTTTGATGGCAATAGTAGCACGACTGAAAACCCCCCTTTTTACCATATAAAAGGTCGGAAATGAAAGAAACCAGGGGTCTACCTCCTCAAAAACCGCCGTGTACTCTTGCCCTATAGCATTTCACTCCCTAAATTCACCCCATTCCACATTGAAATAATGAAAATAAAGTTCGTAATAATAATTTTCGTACATCTCATTCATTCCTACAGCCTGATGACTTGCACCAAAATACCTCGGAAACTCGGATGTGGAAGAAGCCGTGACCGACTATCGGCTACTGCCCAGGGGTCGGCAAAGATTATGTCGCTCGCGAGACAAAATTTAGGGTTGCTAGTCTTGTGCGGGTCCAATATATTTTTTGAAAGTTAAAAATGGGAGAGCACGAAAACTGCGACAATTCATGAACTCAACTTAGTCGTCTTAATAAAAAATCATTACAATGACATTCAATGTGACACTGTCCTGTTGTTGTATCACGCTTGATAGCTTTACGACGCCAAGATTGGGACATTTTCCAAATGGGCATCATTAATCCCAATACTTGTTCTTTATAATGCTCATTTTCGAAAATAATTGTTCGCACAAATATGAACTTCCAAACATCGAAGTGAATATTTTTGCATGGTTTCTGAAATTTTGATAAAGATTTTCTTTAAGAAGATACGTTCTTACAAATATAAAGCAGTGATGAATCTCTCGAATCGGATATAAATTTTATTTCCTTATTGCATGAATTTTTTTCGATACTTTTAAATAACAGATTGTTGAATGGTATGAATTAGAATGATAGTTTGAAACGAATACCCCATTTTACAGGCAACAACTCGCGAAACCACTCTTAAACTAAGCACCGAAAATTTAAAAATGGTGAAATATACAAAGAATTTTTCCGCGGTCAAAGGTCGGGGAAAGGTTCATTCAGTGAATCGTCCGAGTCAGATTATTTTACCCCGGCCGTATTTTGCCGACCATTGGGATACGCACACTACCGTACCTCACTGCGAAGACGAGTTCAGCAATCCTTTCGCGTGTAATAATCGCCAACATGATTCAAGCTTGCGAATGCACACAGAGTACAGAATTTGGTGCACGATGCGCCAAACAAAAACAGATAACGCGAAATCGCCCCCTTCGACTTTTTCGCCCCCCTCTGTATCGTTTTAGCCCACCGAGGGGCGATATCGCCCACTTTGGGAATCACTGGTATAGACAACGAAATGGATCTTCAGCTATATTCCACTGTTTTCAAAAGATCCTGAACGTCGCTCAATGTGGATATCATCTATTGCCTATTGGCAGAACTGCTTGGTGTCAAGTCCAGAAGCCATCTTACTTGTGTTTCACTGTTTTCAAAAATTTCTGTGGACCTCAAGAGATTTGTTTTTTATGTTTCAGATTAAAAAATAGCGACACCTTGTGACGTGTCCATATACTTGAGCTTAGCTGTCAGATTAATTTTTAAGTTTCCGAAACACAACTAAAAACTAACGAATAGAGTTCAAAAACGCGAAAACGAGGTAATGTTTGCGACCACGCTTGAAAATCTGTCTGAGTGAGAAAAGTGTCTGAGCGGATGCGAAAATGGAGCATTGTTACGTCACTTTTTGCATAAAAAAAATTGGCCAATGTCACGATGTAAACAGGGAAGTCGATGTCCGGTGGAAGGTCAATTGGTCCAGTATTCGAGGTGAAAAGCGATTTCATCATGACGAAGGAGAAGAATAACAAGATCAACAACATAATATTAAATCGATCGTTATTTACACTGACATGTTCAATAAACTTTGTAATCGCTTGTCAGATCGTCATTTGGACGACGTACCGCGGGCAAGTTGGCATAAAAACATCATTCTTTAAATTAATATTAGTAAATAAAAACAATGTGTTTTTGGATAACATATTAAAAAAAGTCACATACACATCATATTGTGGCAGGCTTTTAACGCAGCAGTAGAAGGTGCAAATGCGCCATAATTTGAAGTTTAATGTGGCGATTGAAATATTGCGGCCCTCGCGCTACCGGGAATGTGTACATTCCGCCCGCGAGTACATAAAGTTCGCCGACCACTGCTCTAAGACTTCGATCAGGCTCCATTGTAATTCTAAACTTAGCTCGCGCATTTTCGTAACAAGTCGTATAAGGCATATTTTTTGACGATATACTGTTCATCTTCCAATTGGTTTAAGAGCCAATACGACTTCATCTGGCACAGCCCGAATAAACGAGCGAGGTAATAATGCATAAGTTAACGACTGGCGACCAGGTCAAGTCGTTGTAGTCGATCTTCATTTTGGAGCAAAATTACATCGTTTGTCAAACCGTAAATATGTCTAACACAAATTTATGTAAATAGTTTTGTGCTGGTATATTCTCTAGTGATGTTCCATGTTAAATCATAGTTCAAAAGAATTAGCCCCGAATCTGTTTTTATACACCTTTTGGCTTCGACTTGAAAATTGTAAATTTGTGTTCTGATCACAGTTATGGAGCTCAGGATATAGTTTTTTCACAGTCTTTTTTGGGGGACTTTTTACACTCTAAAAGTCACCTTATCAACAACAGCAAGAATAACAACAACGACAAAGGCTGCTAAGCGTTGGGAACACGTTCGCCACCGCACCTCTGATTACCCAGCGTGGGTTCGCAGGTTCGAAGCCCATGCGGGGTTATGTGCGAGAGGATTACTGAACTACTCGCCGCCGTAGGGTGGTTTACGTAACCGCTGGTCAGTTACCATCTGGAAACAAATAACTTTCTAACAAATCTCATAACCGACAAGAACTGGTAACCGGACGAGCGGCCATGGTTTGCCACGTGGTTAAGCCGTCTTATCGAGTTTCCACTCCCCCCCAGCAACCATCTATTCTAAAATGACGATTCCTATGTAAAGGTTAAAGGTTAAGTTCGCGTCCCAGCTGACGCACGATAAACAGAACATATGAGTGTGGCGATGCAAAATGGGAACCTCGTGAAACTTATTTTTTTCTTGTAACACTGCACCTTGTACACTAATTTCTACTTGAAAGAAATGGAAACTTAATGTACCTACTGACCTACCTATGACAGTATGGCGCAAAAGTATCTCAATTCTGCAATTCAAAAACTGTTGTTAAAAATGCAGAAATGGTTAGTCAACGATAATGAGGGCTCATTTTCAAACTTCGCCATGAGCGACCTTTTACGTGCATAGCCTATGCCACTGTATTTGCCTATTTGTTCAGATTGAGGTTTAGTGGGAGAGTGTGGAATGGGTTTGAATGGGATGGGAAACCAAGATAAAGAGGCGGAAAACCAAGAAAAACTATCATTTGAAAAACTGATTTTCTTTGTATTGCAAAATTGGGGTCTCGTGTAGTTTCGTACCTAACGTACTTCTAGTCGGCGTAGCATAGGTAACAATTTTTTGATATGTCAATCCTAACCCCCATCTGATTACGCCATCCGAAAATTAAATCACTACGACATCACAATCACGTCATAGAGCTTGCCAAATATACGCACGATCAACCGAAATGGCATTGGCACCGCCGATAAAGAACTGACTGACGTTATCGGTCTCTCTCCTATTGGAATCGTTGCGACGAAAAAACGAGAGAACTAACTGTTCGATTTCGGGTGCTCGTTTGCGCGTTTTGGATGGCAGTTCGTAAAGTTTGAAGGGCTCTATTACGTCACTGTGACATCGTAATGGCGTAATTTTTTGATGGTCTAGTCAGGTGGGGGTTAGGATTGATATGTGAAAAAATTGTCATGCTACGCCCACTAGAAGTATGTTAGGTAAGAAACTACATGAGACCCCAAAATTGAATTTAATTTAATTCAGTAATCTATAATGATTCCATACCAAAACCTCAATATTGCAATACTGCAATACCTGAATACGTAAATTTCATTTGACATTTCGACATCAGAATCTATTTGGCAAAAACTGAAAAAAGGAATTTGAATTGCAAAATTATGGTAGCAATAGGTGTGCCTGGGAGACTGCAAGTATGAATTTACAAATACCATTCTGCCAGTGCCCAGTTACTACTGTACTATACCATACAGTATACAGCAGTAATTTCGCAGCTAACAAATTATTTTTATAATTTGAATAAATAATTAAATGCTGATTTTATGGTTAAAGTTTTTGATGTCAATTTATTTTTAGATGTTACCAGAGTTTGGTTTCATCTAAAACATACTAGATCTATATCATAGTGGTGGTAGCGTTAATAAAGTCATATTAGAGATCTTAAATTGTGTCATTTTTTATGTTCCACAACTGCACAAACTTTTTGTTTGTTCAAATATAATTATCAACATTATTCTGTTTTATTTTTTAGTTAATTAACTAAAATGGCTTCCTTGGCAAGGAATATTTTTAAAATGAACCAAACAAGGTCATTGTGGATAGGAGCAGTTTTCAATTCAGAAACTCCAACCGTTAATAAAGGGAGCAGTAAAACGACATCAACGCCGCCAGCTACTTCATCGAAAGATAAAACAACTTTTGTAGATCCAACAAAATACAATACTACGGAATATTATTCATACTCAGAATATTCGTATTATGATATTGACAGCGATTGCATTCCAAGGCGCGTAAAACAACCAGAAGCACCACAAAAACAGATTTAAAACAGACGCTGTGAAAAATTAATTATTTAAAACTAGCTGTTTTTCATCAGGTTTCATTTGTTTTGTGTGACTTGTCTGTTATTCATTTATTTCAATTCATATTGTGCGTTTCAGTGCATGGGTTTGATATATTTATTATAATTGTTTCCTTCCGAGGGGACTTTTAGAAAATTGTTGTTTGGATATATTACCTACTTAACAAAATAATTTGCTGTATGTTGCCATACTTCTCCATGTCTATCAGCATTGTATTGCTAGTACTGTAGTAGTAACCATTTTGCTTGAAATTGATTGTATCTCACAAAGTGTTTCTATCTATTTGTCCTTTAGTTGTCACGTTCTTTAGGTGTAAGTTTTACGTAGTCATGGCGGGTTCTTCAGAAAAGGTGCATTTCATGGCTGACAAAGTGCGGCATAAGAAACGCGATGGAGTTCTATATCTTATGTCTGAACGTATTGCATGGTGTCCTCAAGGAAAAAATCATTTTGAGGCAAGTCACCAGTATGCAGAAATAAAATGCCAAAAAATTAGTCCAGAAAGTAAAGCAAAAATACAATTACAGATTGTGATGTTGAATGGAGAGTCAAAAACGTTTCACTTTGCTGACACAAGTCAGGAAAAAGCAAAAGAACAACGTAATACAATCAAAGATATTTTGTCTGAAATGCTACCGCGATTTCGCAGGAAAATTGACAAAGATTTGGAAGAAAAGAATAAATTATTACAGCAAGATCCAGAATTATTACAAACATATAAAGATTTAGTTGGTTCGCAGGCAATAACACCAGAAGAGTTCTGGGCAACACATGCTGAAAAATTACCTTCTGATAAAGCAAGCCAGTCAAAGCAAAGTGTTGGAGTTTCAGCCTCTTTTCTTGCAGATGTGAAGCCGCAATCAGACGGTTGCAATGGCTTGAGGTACAACTTAACGGCTGACAGAATAGAATCAATTTTTCGTACATATCCTGCTGTTAAGAAAAAATATCTTGATAAGGTTCCTGATAAAATGACGGAAAAAGAATTTTGGACAATGTTTTTCCAATCTCATTATTTTCATCGGGATAGAGTAAACCAAAACAGCAAAGATTTATTTTCAGATTGTGCAAAAAGAGACGACCAAGATATTCTTTCTTTATTAAAACTTGGCGTGAAAGATCCATTAGTGAACTTACTTGGTCTAAAATATGAAGATCTTTCCAAAGACGAGGGTTATGGGAATAGCAGTGGTCCAGCTCCACAGAATGCAAAAGTAAAACAATCAAGTACACAAATAATGAACAAAGCAATAATAAAAAGATTTAATCATCAAAGTACGATGATTTTATCAACTTCTGCGTCTAGTGATGACAAAACTTTAAATGGAAATACCCAAAATGGTCAGGAGAATGATGATGGTAGTGTACAAGCAAAAAAGGCAAGATTGATTGATTTAACTTTATATGATGATTTAAGCGCCAGTAAAACTGCCACTGATTCATCTTTAAATTTACAAAATTCAGAACGATATAGTCATGGACCAACATTACTAAGTGAAGTTCATGAAGAACTTGAAGGCAGAGCTATATTGGATGGTTTAAGAGTAATATCAGACCAATGTGCTTCATATAAACCAAAGCTTGGTCTAGCATTAACTTCAAAAAATGCAAGTTTAGCTCTGTCTGATTTATCCGCCGATGCCAGGTCAAGGGCAAGCATAAGTGATAGTTTTATCGACCAAATATTACCTGGTAACTTACGTCTTGATTTACAATACTTGTATGCTTCTGCTTCTGAGCTACTGCGTCATTTTTGGTTGTGCTTTCCAGTGAATACTCCTTTTTTACAAGAAAAAGTTGTTCGTATGAACAACAGTATACACAAATTTCGGGACGAAAGACTTGCTTCTTTTAAGCATTCTCTTGTCCAGAATAGAGTTGAAGTTAATGTTGCAAAACATCTAGAAGATATGCTAAACAATGCAATTAATAAATTTAATTCTTGGCAAACTCGTATGACCAAAAAGCGATAGTACATTTTTGAATTTTTTCGATTCGAAAACCAGATGCTAACTATAATCTTTTCAAATTTGATAGAATCATGAAGGTTCGAATCATGATTACTTGAGTCAGGTTTGAATACGATATCCAAAGTTAAGTTAGTATTGTTGAATGGCTCAATTCCTACAAACCAACTGTATTCATGTTATGATTTGTCTCCTAATGCCTTTGTAAAATTGATTTTAGCACACAAATTGACTCAAGTCTTGAATAGCAAATTTCTCACCTTGAAACTTTTTATGATGTTAATAAGATTTGATTCAAGTCAGTTGAAGTTGCTAACCTTGCATTCTGCAAACATACAAATACCTTTGACTTTAGAATCAATTAATTCAGTTTTTGAAATTGTCGTCTTTTAGCTACCAAATGTTCAATGTGTGTTCGAAATGTGCTACATATGTCATTGATGCATCTACAGTTGTTAAATTGTTATTATTAAACAGTTGGTTTGATTTTCTTCAAAAAGTATTTCGTTGAAACAGTTTTTCTTATAGTCAATGAGAAATGTAATCTATAGCAAATTATTATGAGTCCTTTTCATGTTTTATTTTATCTATTCATCTGGATAAATTATTAAGACAAAATGTATAAACTGAATTCTTTTCCAAATTCAATTGTAATTAAACAATTTCTTTAAAAATTTTGCAATATCTAGAGTGTCTCCCAGTTTGATATATACTTACACAAATGGCAAATACGAGCTAGACGATATGTAAATGTTTGGAAATATGGTGGTGTACACCAACACTGTATCACATGTATTTCTTTTGTATCATTTCCATCAAAGTTTCCGAGTTATCCCATGGTCATAGCCATTAATATTCATGGCTTAGTTTATCCTAGCATTTGGTAATTTATATTTGTGCTTGATATCTTTTGATACTAACAGTAACACGGATGATATACAAATCTCCTCATAAAATGTAACTACAACTGTACATTGAATTCCATATTATAAAAAATAGAAAGTTGTCATGGCTTCTCGTAGTTCACAACAGCCTGGCCTGTCATCTCTTGGATTGCAAGATCGACTGCTTGAAGTTGCTGTAGTTGTGGGAATGGATGAAGAAACTGGGCTACATGTCAGGAATATGAATGTATGTTGATGATTTTTGAAATCGCTTATAAGTTCTCATTTTCAAGAAGGTGTAGGTGCACTTTTATGGGTCTCGAATGAGTTTATATTGACTCAAAAATTTTAATAACATCCATAATATCTATTGTTTCATATCTAGAGGTCCACAGAAGGCTCTGCTGAAGAATTGTCTTTATTTGAAACTCATTTTCAAGGTCATTTGCTTGACATCTTATCGGGACCCCAAGATGCCACTGGAGGTTTGTTGGTTTCTGTATGTGGTAGTAAACTCTTTTGCTATCTTTTTTATCTCTATCCTTATTTGATGTGGCAATGGTTTGAAAAAGGAATGTCCAAAATTAATTAAATATTTTAATTGATTCATAGTTAATTATATGTGATATAATTAATATAGATGATTTCAAGAACAAATTGAATATTTTCATTCAAAATTGTATCATTATAAACATTTTGTAGCCGATGAATAGACATAAAATATTTATTCACATAGGCAAATTCAATCACTATCAATAATGATCTGCTTTGTGCAGCTAATGGTGGGAATATAAATTGTATTATATAAATAATAAAAAAACTGTACTAATAAACACTGATTAGAATTGAACAAACCTGGTTAAGATTATTGCGAACTGACTTTGTAACGAAATTGTGTAATCGTAACAAGATTTTATGATTACCCTGTGTTACAGAATATATGTAAAATGTAAATGATTCGATTTCAGCTAATCTTGGTTCAAATTTTAATTTAGCTATTTTTGTTCAATAAGTATTGACTTAATAAACAAATTACAATATAACAGAAGTACAGAACATGACTATTGTGTACAGTTTGTTATAATTGCCATAGTCTAAAGCAGTGGTTCCCAAACCATAATTCCTTCCGACTTCCTTTGGATATTTTCTAATATTCCGTGACTCTTTTAAATATATATATGAGTTTAAATTAAAACTAGTTGGTTCTACAAAAAAAAATATTAAACTTTACGCGTTTTCTGCAAAATAGGTATCTTGAATCAATTATTTTATTTTCCTGTTATCCATAAAATTGGATTTTTTATAACTGTCCTTAAGTGCCTTATCACTACTATTGAATGAGCACAGTATTTCCTGGCTATAGAGCCGATTTTCTAGATCTAATTTTTTTAATTGATTTACTGGGGTCGTATTTTTTGGTGGATTAGCTTCCGACCAAAGAATAACAGGAGTCAAAATGCATGACTCGTACTTTCATTCGACTCATTTCATAGAAAGTTTGCCTTCTGTAGACTTTAAATTTTCAGATTAACAATTGAATTGTATTAGAACAGCGTTTCCCAACCTTTCTTGGTCGCGGAATGTTTTCCTACCGGCGAAAACCTTTGCGGACTCAAGGAGCGTTTATTGCAAAAGTACTCTGTGTGGAGAAGCAATAAAACCGAACACAAATAAAATTTCAAAATCGAAAATTCGCCACAGTTACGCGTTCGTTAAAAGAGCCGACTTTTTTAGTGTATAATGACCATTTCTGTCGCACAATATTCAGTCCATGACAACGACGAGAATTTAAAATGTCTTTCTATTTTAATTTATTGTGTTCATGGTAACTCGCGGTTGCGTCGACTTACAACAAGATGAAAGCATTACTTAATTAAAATGCCACGGCAATCTGCGAACATAATAGAGTGAGAATATATTGCCCGATTATATTTAGTTTTGATATATATTTTTTGCGATCTTGCGAATTTGTTATCGTCGTTAGAAAAATTCTACTTTCTGCTGTAAAGTTCCAGAAAAGAAAACTTGATTTAGCACTTGTTAAAAATATATTTAAAGTTTATTAGTAAATCAGAAATACATATTCATCGCCTTGCTTTACTATTAGGTTAATTGACACCTACCAAAAATAAAATCATTCCTCGTTGTTTGAACTCGCGAACTCTATCGAAGCGTATGCAGACTAGTGTTTTCATCGGAAGGTGTCTTCGTCACCTGTTACCAAATTTTCGAATAGTAAATTGGTATTCTAATAGTTGAATATTCGAGTATATGCCTGGTCCTACTCATTAACCAGTAGTTATTGACTCGAATAATGTTTTGTGAATAAACTTGTCTTTTATGTTTTATGTAAATTCTAACGTAAATCGTAACATGGCTGATAGTTAAGTTTTGCAAAAACGTTTGCAGCCCGCAGTGAATTTCTGGCTCATTGCGGACTCATTTAAACGCTTCGTGGACTCATTTGAGACCGCGGACTCGGGTTGGGAAACCCTGTATTAGAAGATGAACACGAGAGTCCTCACAATTGCGCAATTTACACGCAACACTTAAGGCAATGCTTCCCAACCGGGGTAGAATTCTGCCAAGGGAGAAATAGCCGTTCTAAGGGAAGAATTTTTTGGTATATACCTATAGTAAGCACTTCACATCGGTAAAGGGGAATATTTAATAAAAAAAAGGGTAGGGAACCACAGAAAGCGAAATTAAAATGCGTGCTGTTAACAACTAAGATGTCATGGTGGTGAAAGTGTTCTGAAGTGGGAGACTGTTGTTTGATTTTGGTATTGATTAACCTGAATCTTTAAATATTGGTTACCATTGTTTTTTGTTTTTAATTTAACGCTTATGAACAAATCTATTTTTTCTACCACTGATTGGAATGAATTTTTTAGAAAAAATTCGTACGTAAAATTATCTTGTTCTGCGAGCCCCTGAAATGTGCTGTATGCCATGACCCCCAGGATGGAAACCACTGGTCTAAATGAACCTAGGTTTATATTTTCGAAGAATATCTACAGGAAGTTTTATTCCTGCCAAACGGAAATATTTTAATTTTTTCTTTCATTTTCAGAAAGTAGTTCTTGGAAGTTATCGTTGAAGATCCCAAAGAAACCAAACAAACCTGAGTACGATCAAACTTATATTTTTAAAAATTTTATAGTTTGAGTGCAAAATAAAGATCCTATTATTGATTTTTTAAATATTTTATTGAACCTTTTTTTTAGGTAAAAGTTTTTCCATTTTTTTTTTATATATTGGGCCATGGAAATTTCTGTTTTTTCCTGAGATTATATTGAATCGAATATATCATGAACGAATAATTGATATCATTATGCCATGCTTTGTTTATATTTTTTATATTCTACATCTACACTATAATTTCTTATATTCTCAGTAGCTCTTACATTTTAGTGGTCGTCCCTGACTTCGATCAGAGATCAATCTTTGAGTAAATTTTCTTAAATTATTTTTGATCAAAATATTTCAGCTCTCGTTTTAGATTTTGGTATGTATTGTAGCATTGTGGTATTCGTTGCTTGTAAATTGCAGTGCTGCCTAGTTTTTTTATTGAATAGCGTGTGTTTTGCATTGTTTTTATTTCCGGTATATCCTGGTTGAATAGGTCTAACATATTTCCAAACATGTGGGAATGTTTATTGAGTCACATGCTATTCCCTATTGTTCATCCTTGTGTCACATAGGTTTGTATGGCGCAAATATATGCCAAAAATATTTATATTATGAAGGTGTCATGTTTGTTTCCGATTCTATTTGAAAAATGTTCACATCCTAGAATTAAATGAATGTTGTTGAATTTTTTTTATTAGTGCCAGAATACATCCTAAATTACGGGAATAACATATAAAGTCCTGCTACAATGAAACTTTCAAATATAGTCATTTATTTTATTTTAATCAGTTTTTATTTATGGCTTATTCTCCATTTTAGTATTAAGAATACTAATTACTGTAAATTTAGATAATTTTGTAGTTTTATAATTTGTGCTGTTAATTGGGATTCTGGTAGGCTATAATAAAAAACCTGCAAACCTTTTGTGAATAACTCTCTTTAAAATTTGTTTCTTGATTTGACTTTGACAATAATGGGACCTCTTGCTGGGACTGTGTTAAAGGATTCTTTCTAACCTAAGTTTTTCTAAATATCGTAGTTCAGTAGAAGACATCAAATTCTTCGCAAACTTAGTTAATTTCATTTAAATTTAAATTCCTAAGTTATGCTTCACAGCTTGTTAGGTTTTCCTAATTTGCCGAATATGGTTTTGAAAGGACTTCATAATTTGAAAACCCCAAATTTTATATTTATCTAATGCATCTGAAACAAATAACTGGTCGACTATAGCCGTACCCGTCATGGTTGGGTAATCAAATGATTAAGCTGTCTTATCCTCTTTTCGCTCCCCGCCGGATTAAATTAAGAAAATCCTATCCCATCTGTTTGTATCTACACCAGGGGTCACCAACCTTTTCGAGGCCGAGGGCTACTTTCTGGGTACAGATCAAGCTGCGGGCTACCAGTTCAATGTACACTTCTAAAAAGTCAGTTTGCTCGATTAAGCTTCAAATATTGATAATTACTGGTCATACTGGATAGTTATTAGCGCCATTATTAGGCTTAGTTTGGAACAGACCTGCGGGCGACACGTATGGTGACTTGGTGCCCGCGGGCAACACGTTGGTGACCCCTGATCTACACGATTGTATTTTTGATTTGGTTTATGATAAAGGCTGCATCACCTCTTTCGCTGTATGATAATAGAATATCGTTTATTGTCATTACAGGCCTGCTAAACATTTAAAAAGAGCTGTGTCTGTGAGACAACTAAGAAAAAAAGCCAACAAACATGAAGAAGTTCCCGTATCAACAGATTTCCTCAGTAATATGCCCAGTTTGTGTCTCCCAGGTGAAGAACTCTTTATTTTTGGTGCAATTTCAAAGCAAAAGGTATATTAATACTTCATATAGAAAAATTCTGATTTTTTGTGTAATAATTGCAGGAGACTCAAAAGTTTATTCAACTCAACCAAAACCAAGGATTCATTCTACTGTTCTGACAGATATTGGTGGTGATCGACATTATGCTTCCATTCTTACTTTCTACAATCAATACTTTGCCATCAAGGTATATGATTATTTTTACTTTTTAAAATTATTGTTACTTATTTATTACTAGTATAGTATATAGCACTAGTATGATATGTTTAGTTAAGTTTCCCAATCCTATTTTTTGAATGGAAAGAAAATGACAAAAAAATTCCTATCGCATTAAACTAAACTCGATTTTGTACACCTGAAAAATTTTAAAAATCCCATTGTTGGAAAGTCTGTATGAAAAATAGGGATGCGGGAGAGATAATCATTATAGGCTAATTTTGAAGGAATTACAATTCTATATATTTCTATACCATTTTCTGTCCCTGTTATTTCACTTGCTTCAAATATTCATATTTCAATTTAAAATATCAATCCTGTCCGGTTACCACTTCATGTCGGGTGTGGGATTAGACTACTTATCGCGAGGCCTCCAGTAATCATCTTGCACATAATTATATCCCACATGATCAGAACCTATGAATCCGCGAATGATGATGGCGATGGCAAGTGTATTCCCATCGTCTAGCATGATGTGCCCTTCCAAACTGAAAAAATGATTGCAATTCCGAATCTGATCAATGCAAAGACTAATCTATTCATCTATGCCATCCCTACCCATCCCTTTTTCCATCTGATTGCTTATTCTTCTTCAATCATACTATTTCCAGGGGAAGGATAACACATGGAATCTTTCGCTGAAAGAGAAATCACATTCTAGTCACGCTGAAACAAATGGAGATGGTTCTAGCATTGTACAAGTTTGTTATGTTCCCTGCTGTGTGTGCTTCGTCTCTTTAAAACCATATTTCACTGTCTTGAAAGATACATTATCTTGGTGGGTATTGAGAGTTGGTCTACTACAACAGAAGTATCCTACTTTTCCACATGAATAACGCACTTTCATGACTAAATTTCCAAAATTTGGGAATAGTATCATGCATAAGTGTCGGAAAAAAGGCATTTCAAAGATGACTTTCGGCTCCAGAGTTGACAAAAATGTTAATTTGAGATTCTGGTTGTCGGCTTCAGGTCAAAGGAAATTTTTACACTGACTCTAGCAATGGCCTATGTGAAAATCAAATGTTTGATTTTGAAAACAAAAACTTTGACGTATGCAAGCGTTTTTTATTCTTAAAGTCTATTGTCAAATTGATGCTTTTTGAGTTTCTGTCATAAATTTTGACTTCGATTATCATCATTGAAAGTCTGAAAATTGAACTCCAGGGAATTTGCAAATACGACTCTAATTCCAATATTAATAAAAGCATGCAAAACGCAGACTACAGAATTTGTCTGCACTGCTGCACAATAAGAATCTGAAGGCTGAAGCCTCCTTTGCTTTTCTATCAGCTTCTGTCTGAATCAATCAATTTCTGAGGAATATAATCATTTTTGATATAATTACTAAGTAATTTGATGACATTGCATATAATGAGTAAACAAATGAAATTAGGAAAATGACATCTCCATGATTCAGAACATAACTTGATTTTTCAAAAATAATTCCCGCAGCACTCAGTTTTAGCTCTTCTTGCCTATTAATTTTGTGAAGTACTATTTCTATATTGCTTTCAAGTATTCACTGTTAATTCATCACTGTTTTATAAACTTATTTTGCAGTTTTTATAAAGATTCATCTCTGTCTGACAATGGTTTGTTTCGAAAGATTTTGGAAAAATATGTAACAAATTTATCTGTGGTAGTGTGTCCTCCATCTTTTATTAAAGTGGTAGGTATATATTCGATTGAAACAAAGTCCTATATTTGTATTATTAATTTCATTTGGGCAGAAACTATTTTGATCATTATAAAAATTTAATAATCATTTATATACTTTGTTCAGAAATTCAATATAGTTACTTTGCCTATTGTTCTCTTGCCTCCTGATAATCCAGTGAAGACAGACCAGATAGTTGACATTGATTTGAGATTACCGCTCCTTATATTCAAAAAACATCCCGCAACACTACTCAATGTGAGTCTTGTTCATTATTTCATATTGGTTTATTTTATTACCCTGTACTGTACATCAGTAACAGCTTTGAATTTTAGTAAATAAACCATTTTCTTTAATAACTTATCCATTATTTTTTTTCTATTATTTCCATTGCTTAGTATTAGGGGCCATTTTATCAATATATGTCGATGCATTGTAATGATTATTTGATAGTAGTAATAATAATTCCATTGTTTCGAGGTTTTGTAAATGGACTGAAATAAAAACAAAGTCTGTTTAAAAAATTAGGGCGGTGGAAATTTTAAACCAGTGAGACCATTTTAGAAATTTCAACTAAGATGCCAGCTCTTGGCCCCCAGAAAACCAAGTTTTGACCACAAAAAAATATGGATTCGGACCACTAAAGTCTCCTTCGATTATCCATTGAGAATGCTTAGTTAGCGTTATTCGAATGTCTGAAATCCTGACTTCTGATTATCTAAAATTCAGAATTTTTGTTTAAGTCTCGACTCCAGACTATGGAAAGATATGAAATCTCACTGTAATATAAATAAAAACAACCAATTCTGGCTGAATGTCTGTGGTATAAATTTCAATATTTTTTAGGTATTGGAATGCATTATGCATGAACAAAGGATTGTCTTCTTTTCTTCTGATTATTCATTGCTACCTTTGGTCATGGAAGTAAGTTGAGTATAAAATTTATTTTTGATTTTTCTAGTTTGAGCCAGGCTTTTTACTTAGGTCTTATGGATCATTCACTTGTGATATTGTTACATCACTTGTGTTAATACCATTTAGCCTAAGCGAGAAAAAGTCACTTCAAATATATAGGTACATCTGTCCAAATATGTAAGCTTTTTTATATGTCTTGTAAGATGCTTTTGTGCGAGCAAATTTAAATTACTCTATATTTATAATAATCAACTTCTTTAATTTAATTGGACCTATTTGTACAAAAATCTGTCGCATATAGATACCAGTTGAGTTTTCTCATGTTGTACTGTTATTTCTAATGTTACCTCATTTAATGGTTTGGTAACTTCCGTGAATATCTGTCCGATGTGTTATCATTTGTTCTCCTATTGTAGTATTATGTCTTCCAAACTTTTTTGTTTCAACACTTTACTGCCTGCTTGTTTGACGCCATCTGTTGCATTGTTAATCATAATCGTTATGAATAGTTTACATTATCATTCTCCAGTGCTTTCGATCATATATTCGTCCAATGGAATGGCATCATCAGTACATATCAATACTGTTTTCTGAAATCATGGGTTTTGTTGATTGTCCCGGTATCTTTATGATGGGATGTCATTCAAGCCATAAATCAGAAATTGAAAAGGTATGCATTTTGTAAGTTGTTAAATTGTTTATCTCATTTTAGGTTTTTTTTTTTCATTCTCGATAGTAGTTTTCACTGTTTTCCTCTTCTCCTTGCCTTTATCGCTACTTTTCTTTGAAGCCACGATCAATGGCAAAAAAGTCAAGAAAAAGGAGTAAATCACAAAAATTTCTCGAAAATTGTTATCCCGCTAACGTTATGACTTGAACTGATGCTTGTTGAATGGTTGGGAGGCAGCCAAGATGCGCGGTTCGAATGGCATCATCTTACCCGGCCGCACGCTCTGCTCGGGTGCCCGAGCTACGAATTTCAATTCGATTACCACATCATTTCAGACACTGTTCAAAAATTCCAATACAAAAATTCCATACAACCTTCCTAGATTGAAAATGATCTTTTTCTGGTTGATCTTGACAATGCAAAAATATATACAACTTCACATTCAACTACAAAAAGTAATGAAGATTTAATGGGACAATTTGCACTTCGGATGCCTGAATTGGCAGCTTCGAATCTTCTTCGAAGGTAAAAAGCATAAATTGGTCTGAATACTGAATGGTCATTCAGCTGTGAAGAAACTTTTGTTCAGCTTATTTCTCAGAAACAAAAATATCAACCATGTTACTTTCCTTTCATGTCTTACAACCTGGTTCCATATCAATTTTTTCAGCCACAATCTTGCATCGCAATAAGTTTACAAGATAATCAATCGTATATTTTGAACTGGTCATCAAATGAAGAGTCATAATTTGTTATATGATTGTGTCATTGTGTCATCTCTACACCAAAAAGAATTAGAAATTACATTGATTGCCCTGTTTAGAGCAAAAGACCCAGATAAGCATCATACAAAAAAAAATTGTATCTGTAAAAAAATGTAAACTTTTCCCAGGCTTGGAGAATTAGAGCTCCATAACACTGTTTCATCTGTTTGTGAAGTTAGTCCTGTATCACTAGAAGAAATGAAAGAACAGAACATGCGTTTCCAAGCTTCGATCAACAAAGCCATTCAAGGAATTTTTACAGAGTTTATGGTCGACATATTTGGGTATGCTTCTGCTTTCCTACCTGTATTATTTGTGTTACTCATTGTTCCAGATAATTTAAACAATTGTCGATGTGTTCTCAAAATCATTTCTCATTATTGGGTAAATAGGTTATATAGAATAGTTGCAGATCTGTGATTTTTATTCATCAATCAACCAGTAGATTTTTCATAGGATTCACTCTGAGCAAGGCTTAAAATATATGTTTAAAACAAATCGAATATTTGAATCTACTCAAAAATATTTATAGTTAATATTTTGAATTCTTGATTTGTTCTTTGTTGAAAATGACCCAATTCAGAATATATTTCATATTCAATATATGATTTCATAAAATTAATATAATATAAATCGTCGACCATATTGGACTAAAACCTGAGATACCTAAGTGTATCAATCTCATCACTAGGCCGCTTATTCAACAAAAATGGCATGAATAATCAGTTCTATAACTATAACAAAGGAGTATAATGCATTGTTATGTTAATAATATATTTAGATCTACTTTGCAATACCTGGATCACGAACATCAACAATTTAGATTGAACAAATTTTTAGAAAGTATTCCGCACACAGACTCCCCTTTCTATATTAAAGTAAGCATTTTTATATAAAATAATATTGACTTTTATTGCTTCAATTCTTGCACCAAGCAATATTTACTGGTGTATAATACACCACCATAAGTCTTTATTGCTTCAGGAGGTCATAGCTTATGGGTGTTGCCTGAGTTTTTTGAGTCACTCTGAGAGAGTGAGTGTGACTTTGCTTTGAGTAAATTCTCTCAAAACGAATATAAGTACTGTAGATTGAATTGTAACTTTGCTCAGATGTGAGTTTTTTGAGTCACTCTGAGAGAGTGAGTGTGACTTTGCTTTGAGCAAATTCTCTCAAAACGAATATAAGTACTGTAGATTGAATTTTAACTTTGCTCAGATGGGAGTTTTTTAGTCACTCTGAGAGAGTGAGTGTGACTTTGCTTTGAGCAAATTCGCTCAAAACGAATATAAGTACTGTAGATTCAATTGTAACTTTGCTCAGATATGAGTTTTTCCAGTACTCTGAGAGAGTGAGTGTGACTTTGCTTTGAGTAAATTCTCTCAAAACGAATATAGGTACTGTAGATTGAATTGTAACTTTGCTCAGATATGAGTTTTTGGAGTCACTCTGAGAGAGTGAGTGTGACTTTGCTTTGAGCAAATTTTTTCAAAACAAATATTATAAGTAGGCTACTGTAGATTGAACATTTTTTTTACATAGCATGAGATTCAAATGATTGATTAGAAAATTTTGAAATATATTCAAAACAAATTACCACAAGAAACAAGTTTTATAATACATGCACATTTAATCAATGGGATAATTGAGCTTATTTTTGTGCACATAAATCATCATAACCAAATGGTTGGAATAAACAACCATACTTCGCTAATGTTGATTTCAACAAATTCAATCATTTTTGTTAGTTCAGAACGCGAACTGATAAGAAGTAATGTTTTTACAAAATGAACGCTTAGTTTGAAAATTACTGTTATACAGTGTTTGATAATTAATTTCAGGTTGCAAAGTCGTACATGTTTCGTCGATTCGTAAAACAGAGATTGGCTCAACGTACAGATGATTTCAGTTATCTTGCTCAGTCAAGATTGAAGAGAAGAACAGTTTCTAGAGGAACTAGAAGGTTTATCTTGATTGTATCTGATTGATACGTTTATAAAAAGCAGATTATGTTTATCTCTGGGATTCGAAATTTGATAATCTGTCCATATTGTATGGCGAATGACCATCTCACATCAATTGAATGAAGTATGAGAGATTGGGAATTTCTGTTTTTTTCTTTGGTCGGAGGAAGCTGTAAATGATCAGGGGTTACCAGAACCAGCTTGTTGTGGCATAGAATGCAGCAATCTTCTCCCACTGGATTTGCACTTGCAGTCCACCCCTGATATTCTGAGTGATTCATTCTTGTAATAGGTAGGAATCCATAACATCTTGGGTGAGGTACTGAACATGGGTATTGAATTCAAATAACTTATTACATCAACGTAAATATACACTAACCCAGTAGGCTATGCAATCATGCTCTTGTATTTAGATATCTACTTTTACAGATGGATAATTAATAATCTTTGCAGCATGGACTTTTGTAATTTTTTTTTCTCAAAAAAGTAATCCATTATAATTTGCTTTGTAATACATCTCTAGGGTTCGAATGAATACAGTAGGATCCCCTAATTCTAATGAATGGGAATGGGATCTCATTGATAAGAATGAAAGCATACAGAACAAATCAAGCTTTGATGATCCAGAGGATATATTTTCTGATCCAAATCTTCAATCAGATTATTTCGCGGATCATGATACCGGTCAGAGGTCAACTTCAAGACAATACTCGTCAGGTAATGTAAAATTTTTTATTCCTAGACTAGGTTTCTACACAGCAATATTCATTGTTCAGTAAATATATACTGATCTTGTATATTATTATATTATATTCAGTATATTATTTACTGTAGCTAGATTCAATACTGAGTATATCTTGGTACATCCACGACCACAAAACCAGTCTCACAAAACTCTTTCCCTGCAAATTACATTTCAAAAAAAATATTTTTATACGAAAGTCTATTCCATCAAAACTACAATAGCCCAAAAATCCGATTTTGCAAAAATTTTTCGTTAGGCTGTATGAAATTTCACCTTATGGCGGTAACATATCGTATTTATGTTCAATGTGTTCTAACCCCCAGGCCGGCCATCACAATATTTTTTTTATTTCAGAAACTTCTGAAATTGAGAATTCTTCAGCAAATGACATCTGTGTAACAATACCTTGTTTCCCTGTGCAAGGAACAAATTTCAACTCAAGTGAGATCAAAATATTTTAATTTACTTAAAAGTATATTTGTGTTATGTATTGATAACAAATATTTTTCCCCGGGGGAACATTAAATCCGTGTAAGTATTGTTTTCAATCATTCTGACTAATGTCCGCTTTTTTCAGAGCATTTCTATCAACGATGTGTTGGGAACATCAGTAATGTTTTGGAGAAAGTGAATGCTGATACCAAGATATCACAATCACGTAGATCGAGTTTACGAGCCGGTCTTCTTCTACTTCGTGGATTTTACAGTCTTGCTGCGGAAAACCTTGTTGCTGGTTTTCGGGATCTTCAAGCTACAGCAAAAGAAGATGCAAGATTTTATCCCAACTCGTAAGAATGTTTTCTTAGTCTTCATAGTGTGAATTGATCTACTTTATGGAGAAATTGGGTAAATTAAATGAAAATTAATTAAAAATGAATTATTTGGAACTGGCAGTGGAAAATAAGACTTTCACGAAAAATACTTTTTCTTTAATTACTTCAAAAGATAAACTTCTGTATATCCTTGAATTTCGATTTTGTAGCATTGACCCGCCAAATCTGACCCGTTAGGTAATTCAATCTGGCCCGCCACAACCGAACTAAACAAAGTTTTTTGACTTGTTTGTTTCCACTTTTACTTTTCAACACTGTGAATATTTTTCATAAAAGGAAACATGTTACGTCACACCTACATGGGTCGCCAGTCTAGGTGGGCAAAATTTTCTGCCTTTGGTCTAAAAACCTTGCCCAACACTGGAATAAACTTTAATTTATACACAGAACACTGAAGAAAATTCACTCAACACTCAATGAACATGAGCTCAAATTACTTCAACAAAATGCTTTGTGCACAAATGTTCCTTCACGTAAAGTTGCAGCTACTCGAACACAATCTAATATGTCGATCAGTATGAGATCGTACTTCACTGACGATAATGTAGCATTGTATCCTTTAGGTAAGTTGACATGCCTATTTATGTACCATTGAGTCTCACGTTAATCAACATTTAATAGCGTGCGTGAACGATTTCAATAGTCCGTGGCTTTCTGCCCTTCAATATAAATACCTAGATTTGCTTTCATATCCTGATGTTATTAAGCTGGAATTCTTATATTTACCCAGCGGAAGAAGGATTCAGGATAAAAAGGCCTAATGATATGGCGAACCACAGATACTCGCCCGGTTAGCAGTCCATGCCATGGTTAACCGGTCATTCGTTTCAGATGTGTTAGCATCCAAACCTCTTATCCGTTAATTCTCATAAATTATTGTTAAGCTTCATTATATTTACAGAAGTGGAACCATTCACTTTCATGCTTGAAAGGAACGATGTAACAAACAATGAAAAAGTTATATCTTTGTTATATGAGGCTCTTTGTGATTGTTCAGCATCTCAGAAAGTTGATCATGAATGTTTTAATGCTTTTTTTCAAACATGGCAACAGGTAATAAATTTGAGAACGCCAAGTTCATTTTTCACCCATGTTGAAATTTCATGTTACACACCTCTGATTCAAATCCATCCACCCAAATTGTAATAAAGTGGGCAGGCAGTGTTGAACTGATAAAATTCTGGTTCTTTCAAGAAGTACTCACTCCTCGGATATTGTTAAATATCAGTGACTGCTTTGTTCAGAGCAAACGGTGTAAATAAGCTTCAAAAAAATATTTGCTTCCATCTGCAATAGCCTGAACTAGTGGTTCTCAAACGATGGTGCAGTCCCACGGGGAGGGGGGGTCGAAGACAATTTTATGAGGGGGTGTGAAGCTAGCTGAAAATAATAATATTTGTTAGATTTGATCCTGCACGCCTTATTTTGGATATTCACATTTCTTTATTTTGGATATTTACGTTCCATCCACGTATTTTTAACGTGTTTTTTGAATAAAACATACTTCCGCCTTACTATCTGTTATTTGTCACTTATTGTTAGCTAGTTATTTTTGAGGTGGGGCACGAGACTTGACAAGTTCCAAAAAGGGGGACGGCCCCCAAAAAAAATTGAGAACCACTTGCGTAAACTGAATAATCTACTATTACAAATACATCCTAAAATATATCAATATTTTCAGATCTGTAACACAGAGCATCTATGGGCCAAATGTTGTCTCTGTGATTTATGTCACAATATCTCTCTTTTCTCATATTTTTTTTAATCATCTTTATCGCAGTTAAAAAACGAATGTACAAAAACTATGAAAAAATTGAGCACTGAGGTGCGTTTGCAACCTGATTTGGTCACTAGGAGAATGTCTGATGCGTATGGAGGTAATGATAAGTATTTATCGTTCCATCCAGACGAAAAAATTCTGAAAATATCTGGAATCGAATTATCAAGTAAAGGAAATGGAAGACTTGTTCTCACCACTAGGAGGTATACTCGTCACGTATGAATTTATGATATTTTTAAAATTGGAGCGAATTATCGTTCTTTGCGAATGCGTACTTTTTAAGAAATTATCAGTTGATCTTTATCCTATGACACACGCTTAGTTAGGGGTAAGTTAATAGGATGGGAGTCTGTTGACTTTGTGTTGGAACTGGAAAGATGTTGGATTCACAGTCAAAATTTTGAAATCTTTGCATTAAGAATTCCGAGTCAAAATTTCCTCCTCAATACATCTTCTAGTTGAGAGTTTGGTTAAAATTCAACTCGATTGGATGGAACAGTAGAGTTCTCATGATTAAAACTGGAGTTTAAAACAGAAATGCGGATTCTGTGAAAATTTAAACAAGACTCCAAACTCCGAACATTTTAAATATGACTCAGACTCATTTTGAGAAACAGCACTCAACCTCAGGGTGAGGGTATTTTCGATTCCAGCTCCAAACTCTAAATTCCAACTTCAAATTTCAACCACATAAACTTTGCAACATGTACCGGTAATTGTCTATTGGGAATGCTTGGTCAAACAATGACTCGGCCTAAAATAACAAATCCCGACACCAGGAGGTTTGAAACCATGAATTATGCTTCGACTCTGAACTCCATTGATTAAAAGCTTATATTATGAAATCGCTTAAACATCCAAAATCCTATTATTTTCAGGTTAATTTTTATTGGTGCTGGGAACGAGGAATGCAAGTTGGTGATTCTGCTTAATCAGATTTTATCTGTCAAAGAAGGAAAAATGAAAAATTTTTTGTCAAGCAGTGTAGCTGTGCACATACATTATCAAAGTAGGTTATTACTTATCGATTTTAATCGGTAAGTATGTTGATAGGTATCTGTCTGTCTGTCTGTTAAATGCACGCGACATCTCACGAAAGCGAGATTGAATCTGCTCCAGATTTTGCATGTGCATCTATAATATGTCGGACCAGAAGCCTATTGATTTTGGATGAATTATGTCATATAATTAGCGAGGTATTATTTACTTAGTGATGGGACACAAGGTGTCACTATGGTATGGAGTAAGAGCGCTGTTTTTGGGATTCCCTAACTTTCGATCGATAAGTCTTCGGTCTCTGACCGATATTCTCGATTTGTGTTTATGGCATATGGTGTACTTTGTTTATTCAGTTATAACTGAACTTGCACAGTATAATAAATACAGGATCGCGAAATTTTTTAAATTGCAAAAGGAATTCATGAATGCCATGTATAATTTTGGCCCCCACTTGTGTATTAAATGAAATAAAAAACTTTAACAAACACTGATAAAATTAAACAAACCTTATTGAGATATATTAATGACTGACTTGTTAACATAATTGTAATGGCCCATCTTCATAAAAACATTAAATATAGAGTCGTGTTTTTTTTTCAGATACCCCATCAGAAAGTAATGCTCCTTTTAAAATTGGTCTAAAATTAAATTGTGGAATATGGTTGGCACTTATTAATGAAATGAAGACAGGACAAAGCATATCAAGAGGTTTGTATTTATTATTTCAAATCTGCCAAATAGGACATAACAGAACCTAGGTAATTCAGAATATATTCTAGTGAGAACTCAACTTTTGTGCAAAGCAACCCAAACATACACAAACAGTTTAAGTGTTTTATTTATTTTTTTTGCAATTTTGTAGAAATAATTAAAAAATTTATGGGATCTGTTTTTTTTTCGTGTCCCCCTGTATATAAAATCTTATTTCGTTTTTTTAAAATACAGAACAACGGGATGACAACATTACATTAAATACTGCGGCACAAAATGTAGTCGTTGCTGATGCTTTTTATGCTGCCACAAATGATGAAGGTAAGAAGCTAAACAAATAGGAATGTGGGGGGAGGGATGTAAACAGAGCCAATTGAAAAAACGACTCTGACTACAAACTCCTGGTTCCTAAAAAAGTTAATTCCAGCTCACAACCTTATCAAAACTAAATTCTGTCTACAAAAACTTTGATGTTCTGTGAGCCTTCTTTAATTGTATGTTAAAATGAATAGTGACTTTAATGCTCTTTTAGTTTTTTGACTTTGATACTATAAGTCTGAGAATTTGATTTCAGACTCAAAATAATGTTCAATGTCTACTCTGACTCCTGTGGCTTTAATATCAAAAAAACATCCCAGTTTGAATGGTCTGGTTGCAAAATGTAGCAAAGCAATATTCAAATTGATTTTTTTTTTCAGAATTTATGAAACCAGATAAAGCATTGGAATGGGTGAACAAACTCTGTAGATTTGAATCGCTGAGACAAAGTGGAGAACTAAAGATGTTTAGTCTTGAAACTCAAGAAGTGAGTTAATTTTTATAATTGAGAAATTATCCAAAGTGGTAAATTATCAGTTTATAATGTTAAAATGAAGTAATATAAAGTTCCTGTGACCTCATCAATGACGAAGTGGTAATCGTTTTCTTCATATCTGTGAATGCTTGTCTGAATCCCTATTTATAGCAAATACTTAAAACGCCATAAAAGAGGCAAAGTCATTTAAGGTTTTACTGTCTGTAGATGTTCCATCAATCAAATTTCGGGAATTTCGGGCTTTGTTAAATTTTCGATTTTCATAGGAAAAGCTGTCATGATGCTTACAAAAAAAATTAACTGTACCAGTATATGAAACAGTAGAAATAGTTTTTATTGTGATTGAGTTGGAGCGTGGTGTTGTTCTCTACGACCACTGGGTGGGGGTCAGAGGTCACATAATTTGACTTTCAGAAGGAGTGAAAATCTAGAATTTTATTCTGTTATTCATCTGTCTTTTCCAGAAAGTAGTAATGAGAATGGATCCATCACCAAAGGCAAGTAAGAAGCCTGGAGTCTGCGCAATGTCCTACTCATCTGGAGGTTTGTAACAAACAAAATTTGGGGTAAAATATTAGACCCCTCTGAGAAAATTTGAAAAAAAAAACAACTTAAGAAATAGAATTCTATCTTAAGACCATTTATTTTTTAAAGACTGAAAATTTAAAATTGATTGGTTCATTAGTTGCAGAGAAAACCGACAACATTTTTTTCACAACATTCTAACAAAATCCCTATATTCACTTCATATGACAGGTATTGATGAAACACCTCATGTATGGGTTGCACTGGCTTCTGGACAAGTTCGATCCATCGATACCACGAGTTGGACTCTCGATCCTCAACCTATCAAAGACTGGGATGCAAACATGGTATTGTTTTGTGAAATGTATATTGTATTGTTCAGTATATGAATAGGCTGCAATGTATTAGGTCCGTATTCTCCTAAATAAAAAATCACTTGAAACAAGACACTCACTTAAAAGTAAAGGAGACACATTCTTGAGCAATGTTATGGGCAAGCACTGAAACTCCAAGAGCTACTATAAAGAGTTGTTGTTAGGTGTTGGGATGTAATGTATTATGTGCTAGTAAATTCAAAAATAAGTGAGACCGGCGAAACCGCTTAGTTAAATGGATAACCATGACCATAAATTGCTAACCATTTATTTGCTCTGATCATTCATATATCATGAAACATGTAAGTAACTCATAATCACCCTTAACTCCGCTGGAATAATGACAAGTGATTGTATCAAACACCTAACGATTACGAGTTGTGAGTAGTCTAGCAGTTCTCTCCTAATCATCTCGCGTTTATTAAGGCTCGTCAACTTCACATAGGTCAGACATAAGTCAGTCAACTATTGAGCTATTCTTTGTTGCATGGTGGCCTAGTGGTTAAAGCTTCACACCTAATTATGATGTTATCGTAGATTACAATGTCGAGTTCAAATCCCATGCCCAACACCTTGTCCAGGGTGTAATAAATTGAGTAGGCAAACGAAGGTACTTCCTCACTCCTCACTTAGCACTGGCTTCTTGTACAAAGCCTTTTCAGGAGCAATTATCATGTAAATATGTCATATAAAAAGGGATTCATAACACATCTATAATTGAATATATTTTCTTTGCTGGTATCAATATTAATTTTCTTTTAATTAGAGTTTCCTCTGTGTATTCTTAGATTTGTCTGTGTGTGGTAGAAGGCAAAGAATTATGGATGGGATCAGAAGATACAACTATTTATATACTTTCCATTTCTACAAAGAAAACAACCAGGATTCTAAACGATCATATTGCTCCTGTGAAAGCTATCGCAAATACGGAAAAGTAAGTCATATATATTATTATTATTTTTAGCTACTTCATAGCTATAAAACAAAGAAGTGCTGACTCTGAGTCTGGCTGTATATAGGCAGCCACTGGTATGTAAGTAGCTACTCTTTTCTGAAGAAATATTTCTAGTTTGCAATTGCGTAATTTATTGCACCTGGTGTGAGGCATAAGATTGACCCCAGTATCTTGAAACTTGAATGAAATTGAAAACCTAGTTAGTCCTATACTCTTCAACCACTAGGCCAGTTCCTCTCAAACTTTCATGATGAATAACTCAAAGACATCCCATATTCGTTCCATCCTGTTACAATTCATTGTGTATAATTCATGAAGGTTCATGAACGCCACTAAGAATATTTTATGTCGTATTAATGAAAGTTATAATTTTAGGTTTAACTGGTGAATACTTAATATTGTATGTAACTTTTGCTGCCTAGCGATAGCCCGACTCCCGGAAAACCGCCCAGATCCCCTGAGGCCCAGTGTGATAAACACTGCACAAGACCATCACACGCCCTCATAAATGACTACTCTTTCAACTTTTCTTTTTTTCAGCAATTCGGTCGCAAGTGCTTCTCTAACTGGAGAAGTTATTATTTGGACTCTTGAACCAACTAAGATTCATTATAAGTTCAATGCCTTCACAGATGGATCCAATCTCACTTCTTTTGTTCCTTTCAAAAGTTATCTGTGTTGCTGTGAGTACTTTTATCTTCAATCTCGAAATAAAATCGCTAAACAAGAATAGAATCTAATCTGATGTGTTACATTAGGCTAGACCAGGGGTTCAAAAACTGTGGTACACGTACCCTCAGGGGTACATTTTCTCATTTGAAGACCTTAGTTAGCAACTCTTTAGAAAGTCACAATTTCACCCCAGTAGAAGCTTCAAATATAACTACAGTGACTACCAGGTATACTTTCACAGTTTACATGTCTTATTTTGTCCAATCACAGCGCCTATTACTTGGATCTAAGTTCGACCATTGAGAGAATATTTAGTTTATACTCTCTTATTCTATTTCTTTATATTTGAAACCAACCTACGTTTATTTTTCAATATATTTCCAGGTTCTGCACAATATATCATCATATGTAACCATGAAGGGAAACGTCTACAAAGACTTGAGCTTGGTCAATTTTCAGCCGTTCCTCTCAACCCTAATTTAACCTGCTGTTCGTGGGGATATAACGAAGACAATGAAGTAAGATTTATCATTCTTCAAAGTTTTTTTATGATTTGCCACTTTCAACAAGGATCCATGCAAGCAAAACATTAGGGGTACTAATGGTTATGCTGGATTCGGTTTTGCAAGTCTTCACACATTGTGTTAATTTTTTTCATATTGTGGTACACCGTTTTTGTTCCCATATTACGCCAGACCCTTGCCCACAAATATCCCTTTATTTTTAACATAAAATGAATTTTGTTTGTAAATAATATTATCCTTAACATATACTTGTTTCAGATATGGGCTGGTGATTCAAATGGAGCCATTTATTTGTGGGATGTATCATCTCTTGGCTCACGGCGTACTTCTTCATTGACGTCATTCAGTAAAGTGAAGGATATAAATGTCTTGAAACCTAAATTATCAGGAATGATGAGTGCTGGTCTTGCTATCACTTGCATGAATAATTGTAACAAAAAGGTATTTATATATAGCCTATTTGTGGAGTTTTTCAGAATTTTATTCTGTGAGTATGTGAATTGATTGAAACCGTAAATATTTAAGCAGCAATTTTTTTTCCAAATTACAATGATAGTTTGGATTGGAAAATCAAAAATGAGGTTAAACATTGGAAATTTTGTCAAGAATATATGAAAATATTAAGATACTAATATAAATATACAAATATAGTATTTGTGGAAGTAACATGGTAGTAACAAAATGGAAATGGAAAATGATGTCCGAAACAGAGTATCATTCTAGTCGGAAGTACAAGTTTGGCACGTTGTCGCTGGAGTCTATATGTCAAAATTTTGAATTCTCTAAAGTCTAAATTTTGTACTTTCATTGATGATAATAAAAATCGAAAATATTTTCATAAGTTAAAAAAGCATCGGGTTTGATAAGTTTTCTTAACAGTTTATTCAAGGATGCTCCATACGCCAATCTTTTTGTTATTAAAATTCGATTTTCTGTGAATTTGCAACTAGTCTTTCAATCTCCCTCTGGTTAAAAGTCTGCTTTTCTGTTGACTTTTCTTAGCTCTGGTTAGGTAACGGAAGAGGAGAAATCATGATATATAACACTAGTGAACAAAAACAAGAAAGTACGTTGAAAGCTCACGATGGTCCTGTTACATCTATGTGCCAACTTGAAAACAGGTATGTAGTTTATAGATTAGTTGTAAACAAAAGTATAGAGAAAAATTCAAACTGATTCAACAATGCGTGTTTTTTTGCATAAAAAAATTTCCTGGTCTGGTTATATTGGTATAAGGGGTGATTTCTAGCTTAAATGCTCTAAGTCAGTAGTTCACAACCTTTTTTCTTCTGTGGCCCATTTTCATTGCACAAAAATTCCCCATTATCTTTCTCATGCAAGGGAAAAACAACTACAAGAAAAGTGAAAAATTGTTTCTGCTAAAATAGACACATTCACTTCAATAATTAGAATGATGATGAATGCCACCCTCTAACAAAAACATTATCGTAATTCATTACTACCACCATCAATTCAACTAAAATCATCAATAACTCTATCAATCTTTAATAGTTTTGTGGCCCATTTGAAAATGTTTTTGTGGCCCAGCAGTGGTTGAGAACCGGTGCTCTAAGTGTATGCATCCTAATTTTCAACTTTTACAGATACATGGTCAGTGGATCTGGTGGCGATGATGGTAAAATGGTTGTTTGGAGACAATGATATCAGAGTTGAAACGCTTTTTCTATTTGTTTTCTAATGAAATTTCATTGAAATTTATGCTCCCTTTGTGGGGTTTTTGTGAATAGTTCTGATCTTATTGAATTGTGGTGTGATTTTTGTTAGCAATCTTACTTTTTTTTCAAACTTTGCACTATCTCTTATTCTAATCACTGATATCTGACTGTAATTGTTGCATTTAAATATATAATAATTTGACAGAACGTTTTTTAAATATGTATGAAATCATGCTCTTTTATGAGAGGCAATCTTAAAAACAATTTTTTTAAGCTGAAAAAATTACAATTTGAGTAATTGGCACTTGTTAAAATTTCAGTGTAGCCGATTTATATCTAAATTTCTATAAATAATTAGTGATGTTGGTTTTACTGAACAAATTTCATTTATTTTCATATTGCAGCAATGAAGTTACCTGTAAACTATGTTCATCCTATTTTGATGTCAATTTGACTGAGGCTTCTAAATCATAGTCTCAAGTTTGCATATTGCATAATTTTACGCCTTCGAAAATTGTATTGAGTTATATGTAATTCCCACTTTTCTTGTACTTTTTTCATTGGTGTCTCAGTTTTTTTTATTTGTCTTGATTAACCGCATGATGAAATGTTGCTGATATGTCTTATGAGAGCTGTGTGAAAAAGTTCATATTTTAGTATATCTGAAAACTTCATTATTATTTAGGCCATCCTGATTGTAACCTATTATGCACAACTATATTTTGGTAGAACAATCAATGACCCCGTTTTTAATTTAGCCACTGGCATATGCCTAGAAACCTTTGTTGTAAGATATGCAACTTCATAAATTAGTCAGATTCTTTATTGTGTAAATTTCCTCATTTTTATTCTGTGCATTCCATTTTTCAAATAAAACCAGTACGACTTATGATTTGTTGCACAAGTACCAGTAGAACAAACAAGCTGTTTGAAGTACATAACTTATTCCCACTATAATTTAAAAATTACTTTGTTTGAATATAAAATATTTATATCTTGTATGAATGACAAGACATATAGAAAACAATTTGACAGAATGGATTGTTATTATTGACACCATTAGTGCCTTATGTGTGTATTATTAGTGCCTTATGTGTTGTAGAAATTTCTTCTTGCCACTGTGTTTGTGTTGTCAGTACTTCATAGTTCCAGAAACTGCTCCTTTCGTGGTGGTCAGCTGACTGTCGTCAAAATTTGGAATGTAATACAACTTTCTCAGTCGATCAATATATTTAGCAAGATAGCTTTGATTTTTCATATCTTCCAAATTACTTTGACCTATCCAGTAACTATGCAGGATCCTGCAAATTCCCACTATCATTGCCGGAATAATTTTTGCTTTTTTTCTGTATGAGTTTTATGCAATTATTTTTGTTCAATTCTGTAACGATTATATATAAGATTTAGAAGTTTTCGTTGCATTGATTTGTTGGCATTGACAATGTAGTTGATTGATCCTGTTTTACTTCTAGCAAACTTCTTCACTGTAGTTCCGTCCTTTCTTGTTGCAAACTAATAAATTAATTGAACTATTTGTGTGTTTGGGTTTGTGGAGTTTCTTATCCAAGTCAAGAGTAGCCACCTTGTTGACAAATTGAATCGATTTTGAAGACTAGGAACTGTTGAACTATTGCGATTTACAAATTCCGAATATATTTATTGCATTAGGACGTTTGAACCAGCCACCTTGTTGACAAATTGAGTCGATTTTGGAGACTAGGAACTGCCACCTTGTTGACAAATTGAGTCGATTTTGAAGACTAGGAACTGTTCAACTATTGCGATTTACAAATTCCGAATATATTTATTGCATTAGGACGTTTGAACCAGCCACCTTGTTGACAAATTGAGTCGATTTTGGAGACTAGGAACTGCCACCTTGTTGACAAATTGAGTCGATTTTGAAGACTAGGAACTGTTCAACTATTGCGATTTACAAATTCCGAATATATTTATTGCATTAGGACGTTTGAACCAGCCACCTTGTTGACAAATTGAGTCGATTTTGGAGACTAGGAACTGCCACCTTGTTGACAAATTGAGTCGATTTTGAAGACTAGGAACTGTTCAACTATTGCGATTTACAAATTCCGAATATATTTATTGCATTAGGACGTTTGAACCAGTTAAAATCTGGTATTTCAGCTCAATGGCATTATTAGGTAATTGAATACAAATTAAAAGTAAAATGGCCTCAATTAAACACTAAAATTGTTTGGTCGTTGCTTGAAATTTGATGCCTGAAAATTAAGGTAACTACGGTACTCAAAAATTTTGGCGTGCTACTGATAGGGTTGCCAAATTTGTGTTAAACTATTTCGGGACACCTTAATGTCTAGAATTTGAAAATTGATGCAACAGAAGCTTGTGAGACACGTCAAAAACAACAGTGTGCGATGCCCGCCAGAGAGTGATGATCGTGCAGCGTTATTTTCACAAACTCCAAGCCTCTAAATAATTTTGTCATATTCAAAGAAACTTGTGAAATGTTGAATCTTTGAGGTATAAATGTAAAAAACACTAAAACAGAGTAAATTCACCGTTTTTACTAAGTAGATTTAATTATATAACAAAAAACACAAAAAATCAGTCTTTTTGGTATTTAAATTCGTATTTTTCTTGTGATTTAGGCGCTTTATGAAGATCTTTGTCTTTGCTGAAAAAATCATAAAACTCATTGCATGACATATGAAAGTTCAATGCTATCATCAGTTCAGCTTTGACGAGATTGAAGATTAGTTTGTTTCCACTGTTGGTCCAAAGCGTATTCATAAAACTGAACACTCATTCACAATTCGCGTCGTTTTCATTAAAAAAAAAAGATTTTCGTGAATTACATCCGTTTCCAGTTTTGAACGAAGCCAACACGCTTACATGGCTTTCTATTTTATAATGTAAAGTAAATTCCGGGACAAACGTAGCGCAGCCCGGGATACGGGACGCCCGAGGTCAATTCCGGGACTGTCCCGGGCAGTCCAGGGCGGTTGGTCGGTAGCCCTAACTACTGACCATAATTAGAAGAGATTTAACATTTTCGTGTAAACTTTTCATCAGTAGGCCTACACTTAAATACGCCAAAAATTATTTGCCATCTATGATAGGAAAAGACGCCTCAACAGCCCGACTCTCACTAGTCACCACAACCACAGAACGCGTGAGCAGTGCTGTGCACCCATGTTAAACAAACGATTTTACAGTGAAGAACTCCCAGCTAAGCTTTTTGTCAAAGAAAAGGGGACTGATACTATAGTATAAAGCAGTGTTCTTCAACCGGGTATACGTATACTCAAAGTGTATATGCTCATTGGTATACCCAAGTGTATCCCGGACCATAAGTGGGGTATACAACTGATCAACGGTATACGAAGGGTGTGCAGCCTAAGTCAGGGACTCTAAACTCTAATATAATAAATTATAAAATATTCAATTGGAGACAACAATGCAAACAACGGCGCGCATAAAATTTCATTTACGCAGAACCGGCGTGAGCACATTGTCACATCACAAATTATGGTGGTAATGCAGGCACGTGTCTGGGTTGATGATTCTGCCATGCACGTCGCTTGATTTGAGTTGGACAATGTTTTCGTTCAAAGTGACTATATAGTCACTTTGTTTTCGTTGATGGGGCCGTCAGTTAAATTTACAACTTGCGGACAGTAGACTATTAGATTGCATGATGATATTGAAATATCGTCAGTATAATTTTTTTTGCAATCTGAATGTTTATTTGTTTAGGCCTTAAATAAAAATTGGTATTTGTAAGGTATACAGAGTTCTCTAAAAATTGTAAAAGGTATACCACGGTAAAAAATGTTGAAGAACACTGCATGCTATTGACTTATAGAGGTTTAACATTCTCTGTGCTGATGTGCAGTGTGTTGGTAAAAGTTTTCAAACCGCGAGTTACGGGCCATCCCATTCCCAAGTCAGGTCGACTTGCAGCTTGTCCGGGACACAGTAGGCTATATTCCACAAATACCATGGATATGCATCAAAATAGGATATAATTACAGAATTATGTCCTGACAACATTTGCGTCGACATCAACAGTGCCTAGTTTTAGGTTTTGCCGCAACACACTGGTAAAGTTCAGTTTTTCGTTTTTGGCCGAAATAAATGTAAAACGGCACGTGCGACACGATTTGTACAGAAATAAAATTCCATCATCATCTGTGCTCTCGTCAACTTTGCGAACGTCAACGCTGGTGACGGCATGAATGATTGACGTTTGGTGCACAATGAATTATAGGCAGACCGAAACCGTATGGGTACGGTATTCATTTAAATTCAAGAGACCATGGTGGTTGCCTGGTTGGTACCATAAAAGCACCAGATATACGAGGGGAAATGGATTCATTTCGTAGTTTACCTCATACAGCTTTACAGGGCGTTTTTTATGATAGAAAGCAAGCTGGGACACAGAAAGATTTTGAGGTGGGCCACAGCCACAGAACCGGTAAAAGTTGCTAGGCTAGTTTTATTTATGTAACTATGGTTAGCTTTGATTGAATGAGTGGCAATGAATGATGATGCTGTTTTCTGTTACCGAGTGATAATTTTCATTCTACATACTGAAATATTAAAGTGAAAGCAGGAAAGTGTCCATTTTCACAGAAAGGTCCTAATTTTTTTTCCTAGTTTTACCCTAGCAATAAACAGTTAATGGGCCGCAAAAATTTTTGGGCAACAAAAATGGGCCACAAAAAAAAAAGGGTTGAGACTTGAGAGCCACTGGTACTGTGGTATAAAGCCTTACAGCTAGCCTATACATTATCCTGTTATCCTATACCACCACTCTGTACCATAATGGTTTTATTAGTTATGATTTAAACCAACATTATTCTGTTGTTCTGTGTAACAGACGCGAAAAGTCTTGAAATGAAATATGTCTGTATGTAGAGGGATAATCTGAATTTGTGCTTGTGAATGCTGAAATGATCTTGTAACTATAGAACAAAGTACGGTACTGGAATATCAGAATAATAAAAGAAGACGTTCTGCATTATCATCCCAAAAAACACAAAAACGTAATTATGAACATATCATTAGAAGAGCATGATGAGAGAAGTTTCCATGGAACTTGGCGAGTGAGTAGAATAAACCTGTGCAATTTTTTTTTTTTTTTGAAGGAATTTACTTAATTCGAGGGAACTAGGAAGTCAAGCGGAGATTTTGGCAAATCTATGTTGCTTATTTGTATTAGATAATATTTATTCGGTAAGTGTATCTAGGGAAGTTTATGTTACATTCAAACATATATATCTGTATTATTATATATTGTCTTCAACATGAAACTATTTTTGAAACTATCGAATTTAATAATTTTAGGTGAGTAAACACGTACCACTTCCTCTCGGCAAAACCTTCCAACTTATATTTTGTAAGTTATAAACCTTATCTAAGGTTTCGTTTGCTCCCCTGATTTCATAATCAGTTTTTATTTATTTGTTTTTATCTGTCAAATGTATTGTTATGCTGATTATGGAGTCGAAATAAACTTATACTTATACTTGCAATGATATCTCATAGCCTCTAAGACTATACAGTTTATATTATATTATTGCTCTCTTGATGTGTAGATGATAAAATAATAGAAAATTAACTTGTATTTCTTCTACTATTTCTATATCTAAGCTCTTCTATTGTGTAATTATAATATACCGGTATGTGTTTCAGCACCCCAATTTTTATGTGAGGTTTGACTTGTTGGTAAACTTTCATTCCTGGCTGCATTGAACAAATCCAAAATGAAAAAAAAAAATTTAACTATTGATGAATCATTGACAAGACAATGAATTCCTTTCTTTCTGGGATAAACTTTTCATCGCGGCTTCCTCCACCTTCAAGTCCATGTATTCTCTTAAAACATGTTTATGGTTTATCATTTTATGATAAAAGAAGTGGCAGAATATTTTCATTCTTTCAAAAAGTTATTTTTGTTGGCAGGTTAACAAGTTTGAAGGATTTGAAGAGGGTGCTACCGCTAGAAACAATGAAAATGAAATTGAAGGGTGAAATTATGATAATACTTTTTGTATGTTCTTGTTGTAGTGAATATGCTCTTGACCTCACAGAAGTCATAGATAAAACAGTTTATTTAGGCTCACTATAACAGTTAGTAGTACAAAATTTATTATTGCTATCACAAGTAACAGGATTATATGGATTTAATAGGGTAGTATTGTACAAGGCATGCCCTGCCCAGGATATGGATGTTTCACCGACCCTTGACCCCAGAAAGTTTCTCCCTATACTTTACTATTGCTAACAATGTCTTGACCTGAGTGTGAGACATCTAACCTGTAAATCAGACATAAAGCACCAGACATTAGGTGATTGAACTCCCAGAAAGGTTACATTGATATTTTTAGGATTGTGGTAAAGAGATTTATCTTAATAATATTTGATTATGACATCACCACACAACACACCCTGTTTTCATTGTTTATTTTTCTCATTCTATTCTACTCTTGTTTCGTACTTAAATTCAGTAATGAAGTTATTTTTGTAGACATTGTCCCAGTGGTATTAGGTTTTCAATATTTGATTTGGCTATATTCAGATATTCATCCAACTGCCCAACTTTTTTGAACTGCCCATTATCTTACCTTGGGGTGAAAAATTGGATAGACTGTGTTTGGACTGGTTACCAGATGAGATTCTCTGGTTTATAATATCATTAAAAAGCAGCATTATTGGTTTTCTTCTCTTAGATTTGTGACTTTCTTTGCAACCAACTTGTTTTGATGAAAATGTTTTAGGACTGAGTTAACATTGGATGAAGGATATGATGTCAGATGGAAAATACCGACCAACGTTGAGGCAATTCCATTGTTTTCATGTGAATCCTATGAAGTAAGTTATCTTCATTCAAATATCTCCTGCCTTTAAAGGATTGACCTATGAATAATATTCTTACTATGGTAAATTGTATGTCAGGTGTCAACTATGTGTCGCCGGTGAAAAACCAGTTGAATTCTCATGCACCTCATAAAGGTCATTATAATTGAATAGAAATGATATCGATCGTTGCAAAAATGAGTAGATAAGGCCATTATAAAATATTATAATACTGACCTTAAAAATTGTACCATTATTGGACACAAGATGGACCTATGGATATTTTTTCAAAATTTGCCATTTTTAGGGTTATTATTGTAAATAAAATCACCTTTCTTTGCAAATAATGGGGTTATGTGGATTTCAAATTTTGAGTGCCTAAGAGATCGAAGTCTCTAGAAGTCTTTTTTTTTAATTTTTAAGGGGCCCAAGGTTTTACTCTAAATTTTACTGCTCAGTCTTTCTAATTCTTGGAAACACCTTTACATGAATTTGGTCAAATTCTTTCATCGTTTGACTGAAGTTTTGTTGATGTCATGGTGGCCATATCAGTCATTTGACCTTATTGTCAACTAGGTATTTGACCTTATTCAAACCTTGCTCTATTGTTAAATAACCATTGATTGCCCTTGAATTGTCTATTTGTCCGAAAGAATTCCCAACTTTTTCAAATTTCTGCATTTGAGGTAATTAAATGAACGCATATGTCATGTCATTTTCTTTTTCTTTAGGTTATATTGACAAATCCAGCCCAGCTAACTTTTGTCAGTAGTTCGGTTGGTCGAATCGGTCCTTTTGCTGCTAAATTTGAAGAAGATGAACTAGAGTTAACCTATGATAAGGCTTTCATATTATATTGTGTAAAGGTTTGTCAAATAATATAACTGATATTTGATTCATTTCTACTAGGCCTACCCAGTTTTCAGAATGCATTGGGAGGGTTTGGTGGCTTATCGGGTAATGCGTCAGACTTTACTATCAAGACATTACAGCTTAATACCTCAAGCTCAACTTCCATGCCCACCACCTCACCCAGGATGTAATGAGTTAGATAGGCGATTCCGAACTGTACATATCCCTGTCTTTCTAAGGCTAAGCTGTAGTATCTACCTACCTAGCAAGCAGGCTGCTTGTGCAGAGCGTTGTCTAGAGCAAAATGTTACAAAAAAAACTGTTTAGTATTGAACTTAGGTATAAAATAATACAGTGATATACTGATAATAGATATGTTTAATTAACATATTAATTTATTTGGAGTTTAAGGAAAACTGTCAAGTGTATTTTGAATAAGAATTCAAGAAACATATTGTTCTGGTGTAAAAAGTTTCATTTTTTTTTCAGTTGAATTAAAATTTATATTATATTTTACCATGTGGTACATTCGTAGTTGCAGTTAGTGCGAATGCATTTACTGAGGTATAAGCAGGGCTGCCATCGATATAATGGAATATTGAATTTGATAACAAAGAACGAAATGTAATAAACAAAATGTATTGATGCCAGTGCGGCCAGTATCTAATCATACTTTGCACTATGCACTAGAAAAGATTTGCTCCAGCAGTTCTTTATTCTTAGAAACAATCTGTTCCATCTCACTGTTAAGTTGTATTCTAATTCAAGTTACACAGTTTGCTGTTAGCAATCAATGAGGTTGTAATATATCATTTCTAGCAAATCAATCATTCGAATTGACCAATCTAAGTGCCTGGTATTAGAACCTCTATCCATAAAATAAGGACACATGTCAAAATAAGGACATTTCTTAGAAATAAGGACAAAAACAAAGGCTTTAAAATAAGGACAAATCTAAGAAATAAGGACGTTATGGCAGCCCTGGGTATCAGCGATGACTCTCTCAGAAATTCTACCTTTTAGGACCTTAACTTAACCTGTGCCAAAAGCTGAATTTTCTATTGGTTTCTTTATTTTATCAGGTACCTCAATCAGAGCAAATTCAAGAGTTGCCATTCTCATTTCAACCTGCTTTAGATAATGGATATTTTTCTGATCTGATCATTACTAGTTCATCAGGAAAAAATGTGAGTCATCAGCTATTTATAGGTGATATAACACTATTGTTGGTAAAATCAGGAAATGACAGGGTCAATAATGTGTTAGTTCATTTTACATCATTTATCGGTAGATATCCGGCTATTTTGATACGCACGTCTCGATTTGAGCTTATAAATTTTTTTGTTAATGAATAAGACGATCGAGGTACATTCAGTTCTCCTGTAAACTGGTTGTTTTAATATATTGAGTCATAGTACGAATAGTGAAATTTTAGAAAATCCATTTTCAAAAACAAAAAATGAAAGTAAAAGAATGAAAATAGAATTTGATGAATATTAACCAATTTATTTTTCATAAGAACAGTAATTTTCATAAATTTGGTATTTTTCATTATATATCGATAAATCTGAATTGTATTAGAACTCATATTAAATATTAAATGCTATGAAAGTTTCATTCATTCATCAGAAATATAAATCACAATATATTGATTTTTGCTTACTTCGGTGCTATCACCTGAATATCATATGTAATCGCAGGTTACACGTATTAGTAACTCATATATATTATTAGATATATCAATAACGGGGCCTTGTTTAGAGCAAAACAGTCAAATTAGCCGTTAATTAATTGTACTAATTATATCGCCAGCAAAGGTTTCTATTCTTCCTATTTGATTCAGCGATTTCAATATGAAGGAAAGTATCACTGTATTTTCTAATCGCCAACATTTTTTTCGATTACAGTACCCAGCCCACAGAGTAATATTAAAGTTAGGATGTCCAGAACGATCATGGGAATCTCCTAGTTCAAAACAATCATCTTATCAAGCCTGCATTCTTGATGGATTATCGGATTCCGCACTTTCAACTGTTTTGCATTATTTATATACGGAATCGTTACCACCTGGTCTCTCAGAGATTGCTTCGAGAGAATGTACCGATGCAATATCAAAGATTTCAGGACTGGGAAAATTAAATCAACTCTGCCAATCGTATTTAGAGAACTATGCAGTACGAACAAGTAAGCAGACTTTGTTTTAATGCGATTAGTATGAGTTGCGATGAAAATTGATGATAATATTTATAGTAGAATGATGATTTCATTTTTCTCTGGAATAAGAAATCCATATTCAATGTTCATATACAGTTCAACATAGTATAAATAAAAAAGTTTCAATATTACGGTCATTCACACTTTTCACTCAGAACTAGGACTGGCACAAGCATCCATGATGCGTGATCTACGATGCATGATGTGTCTGATGATGCATGAGGAGTTACTATTTTAGAACGACTCGAAACATATTCATACGCATACCGCCCTGAACAAGGCTCTACATCAGCAGCCATAGCTAGGTGAATAGCTACTATAGTTTTGAAGGAACCTTTTTGGTCGGGTTTCTATCTTCCAATTTTTTACACCCTGGGTGGAATTGTGGGCATGGGATTTGAACCCATGATTTCAACCCGCGATTCCATCATAGGTAGTTTAACGCTTATGCCACTATGCCTCAATTTTTTCATTCTGACTGAATTTTCATTTCTAGAAATTGAACATTTATGTGACGAGCTTGAAAACTGTGGTAGAAAAATTAACCAGTTTATTCGGTCCAAACCTGAATCATCACAGATTCAATCTGATTCTGCATCATTGTGGATTGGATTGAAGCAAGCAGTTCGAGAATTTGCTGTCGGTAATATCAACATTTTATTTTTAAGTTTCAAAAATAGTGCAAAATCACTAATTAAATATAGATGAAGAAAGAAGAGCTTAGGAAATATATACCGCATTTTCTGGTTCGACAAATGAGGAAATTTTTTCCCTGTTTATCCCCATATAAGGTGATTGGCTGTAACACTGAAAGAGAAATATTACCATACTGACCCCATTCCTGACCTGCTCAACAAATGTGTATTTATCCTTTATTTCAGCAATTTTGATCGTGCTCCAAATCTGCAAGTTATTCTCTGATCATCGGAATGAACTTTCAAGAGAGGAAAGGCACAGGATAATGAAGCATTGTAAAAATAGGTGATATATTTTATATGGTTTGTAATAATGGTATTATTAACACATAAATGTATGCAGAAATAAGAAACCACATTTTGATGAATTCATATAAACAGATAGACATGTAATACATATTAAAAGAACACAATGATGAAATAGGTTCATTTGTGACAGAGCGACTCGGTTAACTAGGTTAATTAGACAGTAAACAATATAATTAATTATTTAGTGCTAATTTCTGGGACTAGTGCTTAAATTTAAGTTGATGTGTTTCATCTTGAAATAGTGAATCAAAAATCAGCCTGATGAATTGTTGTCTAAAACAGCACAGCGTTCACGCTAATAATTCATCATTGGATATTATATTGTATAAATAATTTAACACATTTCAATTGAATTAACTTCGGAGATCTGAAATTCTCAGTCGCCTTTGAGGTATTCATTTTTTAGGTTGAAAAATTAGAAATCTTATACAGGTGGAGGGTAAGGCTGACAAAATATCTAGGCAAAAAGCAATGAAGCCTATTAGGAGTTTGAGAAGTTAATTAAAACATAACTGTGTTACATGTGTGCGTAGGGATGGTAGAAATGACTGGTGTCTTCTTTTATACACACTATTATGACATCATCTCCACACACACCTTTGCATCTAATGCATGTTACTTTTCAGTGGTAACCAACCCCCCACTCCCCCCTCCTATGAAATACCCATTTTGACACCAACTTCCTTGACAGAATCAAAAATTCTCTGTGATATATAGATATCGCTTCCGATCTGTATGTGGCTCTAGTCGCAAAGGCGATTGAATCTTTCTATACGTTGTATATTTGGCAGTTATTAGTGTTTATAGTTTTACTTCAAAATATTTTACAGAATTCCCGGTCTGCTTATGTTGACATCAGAATTTTATGAAATCGTGTCTTCTCATCTCAGTAAACAGACTAGTGAAGATCGAACTGAATTTGCATCTTACTTTCTAACTGAGGTATATTAATTATACCAAACTTAGGAATATCAACATTTAATAGCTTATATTTCTATACTTTTTAAAAGTTAAAATGTTCTAAAAAATAGATTTGGTAGTTAGTAATTAATAAAAAGGGGTTTCAAAAGATTGTGTTATTGTTGATTGCGGCCCAAAAATCACTTTCTTGATTTCTTTCATCCTAACGAAACATAGTCATGTGTTTTCTTATCGGATTGAATTGTTTCAAAGTAGCGATTGTGTTAAAAGAAATCGTTTCGAGCTTCTTGTTCTGAGCTAGAGCTACTTCCTATCATCAGGTTCATGTCGTTTGACCAATATTGTTTAATATTAGGATGAAATAGGATTGTAATGTTATATTTATCCATTAGGGAGAGGAAAGAGATAAGATGGCTTAACTTAATCATAGGGCAAACCATTGTGTCTTGTCTGGTTACCAGTCCAAATCAGATATCAGAAGAGTTGACCATTATTTCTTTCAGATTTATGGATTTTTGCTCCATTGTGTTTAGGATGTTGGATATTTGAAGATATTTATTTTTAATCGTTAATAAATCAATTTCTTAATTACAATTTTGTTTGTTTTCAGGCTGAACCATTATTTGCTGAAGCAAATGAGATCATTTCTGAAATTCGTAAAGCTCTTGAGGTTATCATCAATTCTGATACTATCAACAAACATAGACAGAAGGAAAGCATCATCGCAAAAACCTTGAAAAATGTAAGGAATATAGTAGTGAATACAGTGGCTCCCAACCTTTTTCGATAAATTTCTTTGTTTTCCTATTTTTTGATTCCCCTGCTGTGCATAAAACTGATTTTGTTTGTTGTGCAATCTTTTTTATGAATCTTTAGCTAGTGATGAGCATAACTCGTACTTTCGGGCAATTGAAATAGTTCATGATAGTCGTAGTTGTCATGGATTGAATATTTCATGTGACAGAAGAGTAGTTATACACTGGGAAATTCAGCTCTTTCAACGGTGACTGTTTCAGAAGGAATCTGAATTTTCGATTTTGAACCCCACCTCTCAAAATCCTGGCTGCGCGCCTGGATATGTGCACATAAATATGTATTGCAGCAGCTTAAATAAGTAGAGAATATGAGATTTGAAAATAATAGAAAACTAATGAAATCACTGTTTATACTAGCCTGCATATTCCAAACTTAACTTATTCAGTGAAAATTGACTCTTAGGCATTTTTTGTTGAGCATGCTGAATTTAAAATATTTTCAATATATAAAAATATTCGATATTTTACCAACAGGCGGTACATATCAAAGAATTGGCAAAGTTACGTCGGGTGCACAGTAAAATTGCTGAATTCATTTTCAATCTTTCTCTGAAGAAAGAACATTTTTCTTCATTATCAAGAGAAGATAAACTCAAAGCTGCTTCCAATGTCATCGAATGTACAACTGATGAGGTAGACATGTTAAAGTGCTTGAGTTCAGGACCCAGTCGGTGCACAAGCCACCCAAAGTCCCATCTAGGGCCCCATCAATTGGGCTTGAACAGAGAAAATTTCGTCATTTCTAGCCCAGTATGTGTAAATTCCCTTTCCCGAGAGGGAAATTGAAGGAATTTAATTTCAATATCAAGCATTTGAAATTGCTGTTTATATATATGTATATATAAGGAGTTGCACATCATACATTTTTACCGTCTCAGTCTGGAGGTGATCAGGAACCTGGGGGGGGTTATTGAACATTGCCCCAAGACTGAGGTGTTAGACGCCGAGCCTATGATTAAAGTGTTGAACTGTTCACTTGCTGATTTCTTAGATTGACTTCAGTGGGACCCCCCCTACAACTTCATATATATTTAAGAAGTTGCGTATTACTACCTCTTTCCAGTCTGGAGACGATCAGGAACCTGGGGGCCTTCGAATATCGTCCCAAGACTGAAGTGTTAGGCGCCGAGCCCATGGTTAAAGTGTTGGACCGTCCCGTCGCTGATTTTTTAGATTGACTTCAGTGGGACCCCCCCCCTACTTTACTTTTAGTGTGTGCCTAGTAGAATAATACAAATGAAATATATGTTTTTTTTAGTATATCTTATCAAAATCTTATTTTATTAACATTTTTCTATTCAGATTCCAGTTTTTTTGGACAGATTGTCTGACTGGCATGACAATCTTGATATGAAATTATCATGGACAAGATGGAAATATTTTTTCAAAATGGGAGTTGCTAAAGTGGTCAGTGTAAATGTTTTGTGTTTTACCTTATGATATTAGTCTTAATCAGTAATGCGGAGACCGTACATAGCATGCAGCCGTATCGACATTGATTATCGTGTTGCTAAAAATGTTTCGTTGATAATGACAACTGTATAGCACTTTATCTCCGCTCTAGGAGACCCTTATTCTTGGTCGTTCTGTCTGTCTGTGTGTTTAGCTTCAACGTCTAAACTGCTATGCTGATCTAGTTTAAATTTCTCTTGTGGGTTATGCTGTCACCCTAGTAATGTCCGATATCCATATTGGTGTTGTGTTTCCTTGGCATCAACGAAAAAAGCATCTATCATTGAGAAATTGTCTGTTGCCATTATCTCGTAAACTACCCCGAAAACTAAAATTTCAATATCGCTATCCTCCACAGAAATAAGTATGCAATTTTCCATGGATGGTAACAGTTAGAAACAATCTTTTGATATCAACACGATACATGAATACTATATTGATATATTATTCATCGTATTACAGTTTTGAGACTTGCAATAATAATTTTGTAGAAACATACTTTTTTATTCCCAAATTTCAATCAACTGGTATCTGCAGGAATTTATGCTAAAAGATACACAATTTCCATTTTTTCTCAGAAAATTTTCAATCTTCAATGTTTCCTTCATAAGTTCTCTTATTTCAAAGGCATGGTTTATAGAGAAATCTCGATACAGCAGACAATCAATGTTGAAGGCACTTGATTCAATTCGTAATTTGGTTCAACGTGAAGATTTTGATGCTGGTCTTGTTTCACTGGGTTTAATTGATAATGTAGAGAAAGCATCATCTCGAGGCCCGCAAGGTTTGGACAAAACGAAGACGCAGCAGGTAGCGTTTCTTAGTAAGATTTGCTAAATGTTTTTGTAGATTTCTATTAATTTAGCGTAATGAGTTTTTAAAAAAATACTTTTAGAAGACATTTTTGTGAGCCGAATCTTTTTGGTTCGGCATGGCCAGTTGTTTTCTTACACCCTGGGTGGGCATTATCTGTAAAATTGGGTTCAGATCACATTTTTACTTCTAATATAAACAAATTCAAATGAAGTAATCTATTTGAAATATTCAGATTCATAGAACTACTTTCTTTCCTTCCAATTTTTTTAATCTATATTTAATTTATATTTTTCATCTTTTAAATTTTTAGTCTCAGGACGTGGAGTCACTGTGTATATCACCAGTACCTCGTGATAGCGTGCTGTCATCTCATGCAAGTCAACTGTTTAATTCTCTTGATTCTGCAAATAATTTCTCGGACATGAAGTTTATTGTTCATTATTTTGAAGGTACGTTATATATATTTCTTGAATGTCAATATGGACTATGTGAGATAGTTTGTATAGTCAGCCTATGTTTATATAAATATAAAGAATGATTTCATATATAAAATATGCCACCTTGTTGCATGACTTATTCAACATATGTAAAGTTTTCAAAATTTTTTGAGTCACTTTAGTCTAATGCTTTTGGTTTTAATCAATGCAACTTATTCAATATGGTGTTTGCCTTGCATGAGTTTAGTCATATCGCCCAAGTAACCAAAGTAGATTATGCAACATTTCAGAAATGTACTTTTTTCCACTTCTGTCATTATGCGCCAAGGTCCAAGGGGGCATCTTTTGGTCTTCATCTTTGGTTTCAATGCTGTCCCTTTTTTTAGTTAAGATTATAGGTAGTGCCTTATGTCCATTTTTATATTTGGCTGTTAGAACTAAACTAGCCTATCTTGGTTTTGTCATTCTCTATTATATTATCTAAACTTACAGATGAAAAACCAATGACAAAAATACTGAAGGCACATCGGGTTATCGTATCATGTAGATGTGATTGGTTCAGAAGAGCATTGTTAAGTGGAATGAAGGAAGACATAAAACGGTTGGTGATTATTCTGACTTTCTTCAAAACTATTGTAAATTATGGTTTTTGTTCTTTAATGCTGTATTTGATCACCCAAATTAAGATTTGATTGCATGATGATTTGTGATTTTTTCTCTACGATTTTTTCTCTTTCATTTCAGACTCAAAATAACTACCAGAGTGAAATTAACTTAATACTCGTACTTAATACTCGCTCATGAAATATAAAAAAAAAATATATTCTGTTAAATATAATTTATCACGATTAATATTATAGTAAAAAATTGAGAATTCACCATTTTATTGGAACAGTAGCTGAAAATAGGCCATATTTAAGCTGTACATAGAATACAATTTTCATATTTGTCAGATGGAGGAAAAAATTGATAAGATGACTTAATCATATGCTGAGCTAATCTCTCGTCCAGTTATTAGTCTATGATGATTATATATCACTAGTCATATTCAACATTTTTTTCCTTGTTTTCAGTGAAATCAACATATACGAGTGCAATCCTGATTTATTTGAAGATTTTCTTCGGTATTTATACACTGGAAGATTAGATTGCAATAATATAGGTGTGGATACATTGGCTGATATGATCGCACTTTCAGATCAATATGAGGTAAAACATCATACATATTGGTTTGATTCATCTACTTGTGAAGGAATAATTATCATATTTAGGGCTTGATGACATTGTAGTTGATGTTTTAAGAAATACATGAATGTTACAGATTATAGATTTTGGGTTTAAAATTCAGGCATCCGAATTTTTTAATCTCTGGATGTATTTCCTTCTGATTGCACTTATCACAACACTTTGAAAAGAATATTTGACTTTAATAACATTAAATTATGTCAAGGAAAAGTTAATAATTTATGTACATATTATCCATGCGCTATGTGAGCTTGTTTTTGTGCACATATAAATAACGTCATAACACAACTGAATGTCTGATGTACCCAATGGTACTTCTCTACTCTCTCAATTTGTTATTGAAATGTTTGATCATTTTATTTAAGTTCTTAACATGGGCAGATGAGTAGTAATAGGCATTAGATTTCACTGTGACTCTACCCAGTTTGTAATAAATTGGGTGAGTAATGTCAAGCTGGAAAGATTGTGATCTTTTTAAAAATGATACCTTCTTGCTATATATCTGTGGTTGCTTGTACATTGTTTTGGTTAGAGCGAAAAGCTTGAATAAGCGTCATATAGAAAATTGGTGATATCCGGGGATATGAATTTAGATTTAATGATGAAATGGAAATTATCATACAATGCAAAGTTTAGAATTCGGCTATGTTAAACTAGAAAAATTTTTGAATCACTACAGCTCCCACCCATGCTACTGGCTGCTATTACAAAATCCTGTTCAGAGTAAAGTGAAACATCTAAATTTCGTTTTTAGGTGGATTCACTTAAATCTGTATGTGAAGGGGCATTGAAACCTCTGATAACAAATGAAAACGTACTAGAGTTGTTGAGTATCGGAGAACAGTTCAATGCATCATCATTAAGAGTAAGTAGAAATTATTACCTGGTACAGTTGAATTACTGCCATGCCACACGCTGCGTTAAACTTGTAGTTTTGAATTAACTATCTCTGTAGCTAAGTGTATTCTTAGTTGAAATCTCCGGGCAGAAGCTTGAAACTCGTCAAAACATTTTATCCTGGTAAATATGTGATGGATGTTATAAACCAAGAAAGTTTCAACTCAAAAAATATATACTAATATATTTGTGCTTTTGCCGATTTTAAAGTTGAATGAAATTGAAAATTATTCCCTAATATGAGGTCTTTCTTGTTAACTCCTCATCGGCTAGGCCTTCATCAGTGATATGTCGCATACATATGAACAGGTTGAAGATTGCATTCATGAATATAACTTTTTATGTTTCCATTGCTTTCTAATGGGGTTGTGGAACTGGACAAATTTGAATGTTTTTTTTTACTCTGTGTTATTTAGGAATGCTGTATGCATCATATCCTGCTAAATCCCAATATACTGGAATCGGAAATATACAATGAATTACCGCCCAAGTTACAAATCGAAATTAGAGATTTAACAGAGTGGAATCAAAGGTATGTAAACATTCACCGCCTTTTTGGTGGAGCGAGACCCTAATGAAATATTCAATAGGAACCTCTGTGCAAATGTTTAATTTAACTGTTTGAATTGTGAAAACTAAATATATTATTTTCACTATTTTTTTATTTCAGAATTATTATTTTTATTTATTCCAAAAATGTCTTTGGGCTCAATGTCGGAATCGTTTTTTTGTGTGCGATGATGTCATAAATTGCGCACCTTGTGGCCGTTCTGCTTCGTGTTAGTGATCAGGCGAAGTTGTGAAAACTGCGGTGCCAATAGCCCACTGTGACAGATTGCATACCCGTACTACCGTTTTGGCGTTCATGTCCATATATTTGAGCAGCGTTCTCTTGTTTTATATATAATTCACCAGTCTATCAATTTCCTTTTGTTGTGTTGATATGAATATGCTTTTATTATCTGAGTTTTGATTTTTGGATATATGATATGATATCTTGGATATATATTAATATGATTATTTTTTTGCAGAGATTTAAGAAAAAAATTGCCATCTATGTCAAGTGCTCAACCTAGGACAAAACACCGCAGTCCTCTTTCCAGTCAACCTACATCACCTTCAGGTGCGGTAATTGTGATATTCTGGTAATGTTGTTGCTGTGAATGACTCGTTACTATCCCTGAAGTTAGATCATTGGGCTTATTAGGTTAGAAATTTTCGGTGGAAATTCCATGCCATCACCATTTGAGACTAGCTGAAAACTAGAAAGTTTAATATGTGTAGGCTCTGGCCAGTGTGACAAAAAAGACCTTTTAGTTCTGTACTTTACCATGGCTAGGCATTACCATAGCACACTAGGGCTAGGAATCATGTTATTTTATAGTTGTGGTCGAATCCCTGCATGTTTTCACTCGAGCCAGGTCTTGATTTTGATCATGTTTTTTTAATTTTAAAATAACCTTTTTCTTATAGAAACAGATGAAGACTTGCGTTCTGAAATGGAAATGATTGATCATTTGACCCACAGACTACATTTACGACAACGAGTTGATAGCTCGGATTCCGAAGAGGAGGTTAGTAGTTAGATAGTCAGTGATCTAGATAATTTAGAATTTTGATTTTTAGAGGGGAGCTAGGATATTGTATATTGAGTTGCATGTTTTCTCCTTGTTTACTTCCTACTTTTCATCTGTGTATAGCTGTTGTCACAAGATATAACATAATCTTGATTTGCCTGAAGAAGTTGAACTATGTTGTAAGAATACGATAGGATTTACACATTTATCGCGAGGGAGATTAAGTCAATATACCATGGCCTCTCGTCTGGTTACGTCCATATCGGGTATGGGATTAGTTGGCCAGTTATTTATTTTCAGAGGCATGGACTTGTTGAAAGCTTACAAATATACACGTCGAAAGAGATTATGTTATTCATAATTAGTAAGTGCTTTATATTATCCTGAGCAGTTGATGTTATATTATTAACATTGTTTTTCAGTTTAAGGAAAATGTAAGTTACGTTGAAGGACGCCGCTCTTGCGTCATCGAACTACAATCAATACTTGGGAATGAAATCCCGTCTGACGAACTAGAAAGAATAGCCATGGCTGCCGATTTTGACGTCAACAGAGCACTTAATTTTTATTTTTCTTCTCAAGATTGAATCGCAATATACAGATTTAAAATAGGGATTTAGCCATTAAAATATCTGTTAATATATTTTCTATTTTGTTCCAAGAGCAGTATTCTAATTCTGTTTTAACTGTTTTCAAGCTTAATTGGGTACTCGTAAAGTATGCGTACCAAGATGGCGGACACCAGAACGTAGTATGTGTGCCAGTTTAGGTTTAGGCCATAATTTGTTTCCAATTTTCCCTATTTTAGTTCTATTACGAGTTGGGGGACGAGCCAGGTGACTCCCATAGTATTTGTACCTAAAATTATAGCCTAACCCTAAACTGATACACGTACTACGTTCCGGTGTCTGCCATCTTGGTGCGCATACTTCAGGAGCGCCCTTGATTGTATATGGCCCTTCCTTTACCCAGAGATGGAACCATTTCATTCTGTAATTTTTACATTTTAAACTTAGTTATTGTTTTGGTAATTGTTAATAGTATGTATTTTTAGTGAAATTTACAATATTACATTTCAAAATTGAAGATATTCATGGTTTCCACTATGGCACTGCTACTACAAATTATGATGAAAAATACATTTTCAAATTGCTGACTATTTTCAATTTTCTTTATACATTCTGTGTGAAACTCCTGTAACAGTTTGATTGCAATAAAGATTTTTTTCACTGGTGATAAATGCTGAAATATTGTGCTTTTCTAGGATTTTATGGCCGCAGTACTTGCAAAAATCTTCAACATAAATGATAAAGAAATCGTACCTTGCAAAGAATGTATATATACATCCTCGTGACTGACCTCTGGCGCACCCTACGAGATATTGTAGAGAATGTAATCGAACATTGTAAAAGTGCATTTCATATGAAATCTACTATGTTAATGTCTTCATGCCGCGACTGTGTCTAACACATAACTTTGGAAACTCCAAATTTAACGCTAGTTGTCAGCTGCAATGATGCAACGTCTAACTAAAACAAGAACGTGTTTGCGGGAACTTCCAAAATACCATCGCTGAATATGGTTTAATTCCGAAAGTTCCCATATACCTTGTAAATGTGGTCGGGCGGATCTTGCCTTTCGAGGGCCTTAAGCCCTGAGGACTTCAGTGCCCTATATATAAAAATGTAACTAGGGTTCCGTGGATGTTTACAAGAAAATCGATTTCTTTGTTTTATTCTGTAACAATGACCAATCAGCAACGAGTTTACTAGTTCTAAATCAAATACATTAAAAGTCATTATGTCTTCCGGGGAGCTTTAGTTCATTTGCAATAATCAAAAATGAGTTCCACAATCGATGCAACAGACTAGCTCAACCTGTGGGTGGCAAATGATCAAATATTTTTGATAAAAATGATATTTTTGTACTCGTAAACCAGATTGTAAGCTCTAACTCTCAAAAACACTCACAAAATAAGACTGAGATTTTTTGCAAAAGGAAAGTATAGGGAGAATTTTTCTGGGGTCAAGGGTCGAGGTAGCGTCATTCACTACTAATTGAGGGCCAAGTTGTGATTGATTTGCAATAATAGTTCTCATGCCTAAAACATTTTTAGAGGTTTAGGGTGATAAAAATAGGCATAGTTTTATCTCTGCCGGGCCAATATTGTGGTCTATGTTGCTCGACCAACTCGAATTACCCCATTTAACACTCAGTCACCCTTGAAAATCCTATAAAAATCTGGTACTTCCGAAGTATGCACACCAAAATGTCGCATACCCTGAACCCTAACCTAGTATACAGCCTGAGTTCAGGTTGTGCGCCATCTTGGTGCGTGTCCTGTCCGAGGGCTAAGTACTTAACCGATATTTGGAAGCACCAAATTGTGTGTTGAAATCCTTCGATCGAATATAAAAAATGCGAACATTTCTTAATGCTTTAGATTAGAATATTCGTATGGGATTTGTATTTGGTACCTTGTCCGTCAGACAATCATACCTTGAAGATCCTAAGTTTTCAGCATAAATTTGAACTCGTAACCGATAAACTCACTTGGTTCTGCTGGTGTCGAGCTGGCTTCAAACAGACCCATTGCATCTTTTTCGCTGGGTGGACATTCTATTGATTTTATTCTGTTTAACATGCCATATCGATTTCTGACTTACCATTGAAATTATTAGTCATAATTTTAAACATTTATTCTTCCATTCCGAAACCGCGAGGACCATACATAAGAATATTTGTAAAACAATATGTCTATTTTTTTCATTTCTCAATAATTACAGAATCGCTGTGAATAATTTATGGGAACTTAAATATGACGTCTCTCATCCTGTTGTCTTTCCTCAATCTCAACGGATATGGTTAACTTTGCTGAATTGGCCATTCCTAACTTAGGCTGTGAGTAATATGTCCATGATTGTTGCATGTCTCTGTACCGAACATTCGCTTATGGAATAACGATGTAAAGAATAGTTCAGACTCCCGTAGTAATTCAATTCTTCCTTGACAGGCTGCAGAACGTACAGTCGCCATTGATGATTTGATAGTGGTATAACCAGAAACAAAGTTTAATCTGAACAGGGTCCATAAAGAGATGTTGGTTGTTTAATTCGATAAAGTCATACTCACCAATAATAACACTAACAGTGAGACGAAACAACTGAAAGCAACTTTTCAAAACAACAATTAGATACTCAATCCTTGAGACTAGCTGCTCGATAACCAGATTGGTTCCTCGCGATACGCAGAAAAACTGTGTGCTCATTGTTTTATTGTAATTTGTGTACAATTGATTTCTGGTTGGTAAAAATAAAATGAACTGACTTGACATTTTATGCTTTTATTTATATATAAAAAACCATACAGTGCAGTCTGTCTTGATTATAGTCTGCACTGGATAATACTGTAGTATGTGAGTTATAGCACAACTGATATGACACTGTTGAGGGTGTCTCCTCCGAACATTTTTCCGAGTCGAATCTTAATATTCAAACACGCAAGAATCTAATTCTTCGATTATAATATATCCTAGTCTTTTAGACTTAGCTCGATTTTGCAGTGAGATAATCTAATGATTTGTTACACATCCTTAATAGCATAAACATTTCCATTCAGTTGTTTTATATTTAAATATTTATAATATGTAAAATGTAACAATGAAATTGTAGCTTGGTTTTGGTCGTATCATATATAATATATCCATAAATAAAGGGGTATGTCTACTACTTAAAAGCAGGCACATATATTATATATGTATACTTATTAAATTAAATTGTTATATATTCTCAAAAGACAGGCAAAAACAAATTTATTCACATCTTCGAATTGTTGTTATTGAAGAATCTACGTGGAATTTAAAATTTGCTGTTCCGAATGATAATGTCTTAATGCATTTCGCTCATAGACGGGGAAAGAAGTGGTAAACTTTTGTTATATATAGTGATAAAGTTTAATATTTTACATGACTTTGAGGTTTATCATACACCAGAACAATCTATCGTCGCGCTGACAACAAGCAAATGAGGATTTACTTGTAGTCCTTATACAAAAATTCCATACTCTACAGTTCGATTTCATACTGAAACATGAGTATAAAATAACTCTGTACTGTACTGTAATATATATTAAATTTTCAGTGCGCAAGAAAATAAATAAATATTGGTCAAATATATTGCAAAAACGAAAATACTATATTTTGAACAGAGAAAAACCGTTTTTAGTACATCGAACGGGATCTGTCTATAAGTAGTGAATTGTTTTCAAATAAAACTCATTCAAGTGCCATATTGGAATTATACTCGGTATCAAACAGAGTATTCATCTAAGAGACAAAAAACTATAGTTTTGAACAAAATGACAATATTCCGTGTTTTACAAGACAAGCGCTGTCATTTTTTTCATATCGTCAGGAATTGTAAAAAAATACATGAAAGAAGACCAATTTGTTATGGTCTGATAATTATACTATCGAGAAGTTCAGCTTTCCTGCGTTTCCTTTTATCCCATAAATAATATATATTTCTCTCCAAGTTCGTACACGCGTGTCAGAACATGTAGCTAACTAACCTCACCTCGGCCCCGTCGCTGTCTTTCTTGTAAGAACTTTATTTATTTTTTAATTTGAGAATGGTTCAGATCACAGGCTGAAGGTTCTACTCATGATTTGCTGTTGACGCTTCAGTTTTGTTTGTATAATTGGAATCCACACAATACCACAAACAAGTAGTAAAAGCCCAATAGACAAAGAAACAGGCCCAGCCATCATGAGAATTTCGTATCCAGCAAAGTGCAGAGCAGCTAAAGCAATACCCACTGCAAATATGAATCCTCCCACAGACATTAACCCAATTGCTTTTGCGTAATACCTTTTTTCTGGGGCCGCATTTCTCACCCCGGCCTTGCTCTCAATTTTGCTAGCAGCCCCAATATTCGTTGTGGCAACACTACTTGGTGCCCGACTCAGATTCGAGACTGTCCGAGTCATGGTGTCTTTTATATTTTTCTTTGGACCGTTGCATACTGAAGTCGATGATGGCGACCCGACGTGTTTTTCAAAGTCGTACGAACGCGTACTTGCTGGCGTAGTAACGCTTTTATCCGTTGTTGGAGAAACCTTGTTCGTGTTCGATCCTGGAGGTGCCATATTTTTATCTGTGATCATAGAAGTGTTTTGATTCTCTATTTCGTTTGGATCAAACGTACAAGTAGGAACATCGGGAGAAGTTGTTGATACTGGTGCGTACAAAACCGTAGAATTGTATACTGATTTTTTCTGATAATTTCTATTATTCGACCTCTGCCGAGCACCAGACAATGCTGTGCCTCCGTTACTCCCAGACTTATCAGAACTTGAGTTATCGTTTCTCTGTCAAGAAAAAAAAGAATCAATAAAAAAGTGTTTTTTGTAACTCGATAACTATGGAACAAACCCAGTAGCAATATACAGATTAGTCCATTCAAACGGCGACTGGGACCATAGATTCACCCCTATTTCGATTTTTAGGCGCAATTTATTGTTTACCTATGACAATTGATCAATCCACTGCCGAAATAGGCGCAATATAAAACACACATATATCCATTTAGAAATTACGTAGCTGACGAAATAGATATATACTTTTTTATCAAACTTTATTCGTGATATCATAATTATCTCAACTAATATGATTTTTATCGCCATTATCATCGTTACCAGCCAAGAAATCCTTTCCTCTCTCCACGCAAAATTTAAAACAATCTTATTCAGACAATTTTACAAAATATAAAATCACATCGCGCGGCGACGGCCTGTCAATAATACTGGCATCGAACGCAATTGCAATACTTATTTTATCGACATGAAATGAGGAAAGAAATTGTTTACTAATGATTAATTAAATAAAAAAATATATAAATAATAAACAACGGCCTAAGATAGAGAGTACAAAAACTCCATCTAATGATGTCACAGAATTTCCTAATGGATCTGACTCACAGCTGTCTGAAAAAAAAACGAAAGAGGTTCATGTGGAAAATATCTAATAAATTATTCTCTGATTTTCGTCTGTAAGTAATTCAGCCATTTAATTAAATATTGGCATGGAAGACAAATTTATCTACTGTATGTAATTTACCTTCATTAGAGACTGTTTTGAATATAATCAAAATCGATGGGACTGCTGACAACTTATATTAAAAGAAAATTTATTCAATAGCTTGTAAGCGACATAAATTTTAATAAGGGAGATCAAATTACATCAAATGTGATTCTAAACTTCCATATTCATTTTAGGAGTTTTTAATGCCAGGTCTTTTGTTAATCATGTCGAAGGCGACCGTAGAAACGCAAAATTATTAAATTTTTGCCTAATGTTCGAGTTTTTTAAACAATCTAATCTAAAGTATGGTTTTATGTTCATTTAAAGCCAATAAAAGCACAAAAGACGTCGCTCACGCCTTTGCTAGGACGTTTCTAGAAAATTTAATATCATTACAACTGTGAATGGGAGGAACATGGCGCATGGGTGTCTTAACAAGAAGTGAAAAGGCGCCAAAATACAGCGAAACTCCCCAAAATGATCAATTATATGGAAAATCTCCATTATCTTGAAGGAATGCAGTATGCTTTGTCAATGTACTAAAATATCAAGAGCTGCAATTATCTAGAAGTGTCACTCTTCCACTCTGTGGGGGCGAAATTTGAATCAGTTCATCTCAAACATCCAGCAAATCATCTATACGAAAGATATTCCCATATAATTTTTCGATCAAAACGACCGACAACTCTATTTCAATTTTACTCGGAATAATTGTAAGTGAAAACACATTTCACTAATTACTTGTAGTAAAATAGCATAATCCACCGTTTAATGGACAATTTTCGCGCTATATTCAGTCGCTATTTTCATTGCTCGGGCATTACGATCACATAAATAATTGATTTTTCGCAAACCCGGTCGAAGTTGCATCCCGACACATCGATTCTGTGAATAACACTGATCCGTGATTTCAGAATTGAAAATTATTTCTTTTTACTGGGTGGAATCGCTGAGCACATGAGTAAATCGATTCCCCGTGCGAGGTGAAAATACGATGATGCAATAAGATTCTAAAACAAAATAATAGGTGAATCAGGCCGGTGTGATTCGTATACAGATCATCCGTACATAGTGACAGCACATTTTTGCACGATGCTGATTACTTAAGGATCACGAACACTGGTCTAAAGGTTGAAATATAAATGATAGAAGAGTTGCAAGCGATCACTATCACACCAAAACCTATTTATACATTTATTATCGCGACCGACGGCGGGTCATATTGGCGAATATCTGATAATGTGAGATTTTCAAAGCGTTCCAAAATTCTAATAAACACAGCTCAGAGGAACTACACAAAGCCAGATTTTCACATTCGCATGAATTTTGTCCGAGATCAGGAATATTTTGGGAGTTTTAAATGTGCACGATACAAAATGTACATAAATGGCTACTTTTTCATACTACTGTATTCTTCTGCGTTTTTCGTGACACATAATAAGAACCTTTTTATTTCGTTGGAAATAGATATAATCTGTCGGTATACACCCTGTACACTTTTCAGATATATATTAGGTAGTTCATGATTGCTTCTATTGGGAGTTACTAAAAAGCCATATTTAATGTAATTTGAAAAAAAAAAATAAATATAACGAATGGAATAAAAAAATAATATATAGTATGGATTTATTTTGACTGACGTGACGAGTTTTATTCGATTATATCGGGCATAACTACTCGATCAGAAAGCATGGTGCATATAGTAGTAAAGCATAGTAAAGCCTATAGTATGTCATCAACGTCAAAATTCTTTTTTTTCTGATCTTAAATAATAATTCATCAATATTGATCTATTTTATAATTTCGAACTGTTAACTTCTGATGATATCATTAGATATCAGCAAAATGGAATTGAATAAAGCCAATGTGGAGTTGTATTTTGAGAAACAGTTTCACTCATTCACGAGTAACAAGACCCTGTATAATTGCCACTGACATCGGCATTGCGCATCCAGCACCCTGAGTGATGTACATACACCCTGAGAGTAGACATGGGGTTAAAACCTCAAATAATTATCATCCCAAGAAAATAAGACAATCGAGATGACAGCAATACGCAGACAAAATTTCCTTATCACGTTACAATTTATTGCAAAAAATGGACATTTGTTTAAAATACATTTCTAATCTATTATCATGAACGATTACCCATTAATTGTCACAAAATTATCATCCAAGCTTACATTCGATTCAGATGTCCTTTATAACTGGGTGAACTATATTATTTGGGAATAGTTTTCTATTTTGATCAAACGCACACGCAAGAATATTAAGAATGGACTAATTCATGAACTAACTATTTTGCAGCAAATAAAATATAATATATATAACGGGTTAATGTAATAGACGCAACATTAGATCAATAAAATTCCGTATTTCTGGAATATCCCATTATGATCTTCTACCACGATTTTGTAAAAGCTATCTATATCGTAGATTTAAAACTTTCAACAAACAATGTAATAATAAACTACACAGCTGAATAATTGTGAAAGGACAATGAATACCAAACACATATCTTTTGTGGACGCTGAAATTGAAAATTCGTGAACATCATTAAAAATTCATTTGGAAATAACAGTCTTACCCTCGTTATCAGCAAGATGCGACATTCGAAAATTTATAAATACTCTACCCTGTTGAAAATGCAGGTAAAATTGAAGCTTCAACACAAAGTAACTCAACGGCTGGCAGAACCGTATTACGATAACTTAACGCAATTTATTCTGAAAATGTGATTACAGTTGTTACAAAAATTATTTTGATTCTAATAAAAAATTATCCAACTAAGGCTCTGCGATGTCATATATTCATTCATTCATGCTATTGACTTTTTCACCGTTTAGTGATTCAATTCCCAATAGGACGCTTAAAATTAGACATATCTATGTCAAAATGCGAAATTTGTTAAGTTTGCTTAAATTCGACAAATTTATAGCAATGATTCACATAAATTTAAGATTTGTTATTTGTTTGACGATTGTTAGTTATTAGTTTCTATAGTGACAATGGGTTTAGGCTATAGATATAATCATCAATATCTCTGAGTTTGTAAACAATGGGCCTGAATCACTCTGACGCCAGTAAATGAGAATTTATTATTCAAATACCACAATGTCATATTAAATATATCATGAAAAGTCAAGATTACGTTAATACAATTGTATCGACCAAAGCCCACAAATGCTCTCAATCGGCAAAAAATAGCGTTATTTAGTTTGTTATTGGACACGAAATTTTCCTTTAATCTGCAGGAATAATTGCTTTCGAAGCTTCAGTGGTTAAAGGCTATTAGGCTACTATTATTTCATTCCAAAATTTCTGTGGGCTCTATGGGATTCGTTTTTCACTTCAAAGTTTGGTGTGATGACGTCATCAAAATTAAAAACTCCACACCATTCTGGGATCTGGGGCTATGAATTTATTATTTTATCCTTCTATTTATTTCACTCTTCTTGTAGTCAATTCATACTTTTTGTATAACTGTATCTCACGTTCAAAACGTATTGCTAGCTTTCAATATCTGGCAAGTGGCAACGTACTTACCTTGAAGCTCGATCTAAACTGAACCTGGCCGTCAACACGAAGCGCTTAATAAAGGCCTGGGCAACAATACTTTCAAAATGTTAAAGGAGAAAATAAGACTATGTAATTCATCAATGACGCGATAACCTATTACCCGTTGTCACTGTTCCCAGTAGACTGGTTCATGGAATGCTACTAATCTACTATGTCTCACGGAAACAATTCACTCTAAAAATGATACAGTTTTGAACAATTTGTACTGCAGGTCGATTACGCTCATGATGACCTAATAATTTTATAAAATACAAGCCTTGGATTATTCCGTGTTAACAGTTGAAACCAGATTCGACTTGACAAATGAGGCTGTCGAAAGGTCAGACTTCTGAATCGCTAAAAGGCATATTCACACAGGAGTTAATGTCATTATTGTTGCTAAAATGACGAAAACTGCAATTTTTGAAAATCAATAATTAAAATAGCGGCAAAGTCTAACCATAAAAATACAGTATAACATTCATCAAATTTGGCGTGCATTTCAATAGTATGTTTCCCCGAGAATAGACTCCCTAGTTTACTTCCGTAACATTGGATAATCAGCAAGATGCAAAAAGTGGCGTAACAATAGACATTTTAGCAGTCGCTCAGACTCTTTTTTCACCCGGTCAAATTTTCAGGCATTGTTGTAAACATTAAATCGTTTTCGCATTTATGCTATTTGTTAGTTTTTAGTAGTGGTTTAGTAGTAGCTTACCTTGAACTACCA